GAATATTGCTAAAAAGCGGCGTAAACCCATACTCACTCTCACTAAACATTGTGTCGTAGAGCATAGCGCCGCCTCACAGCACACTGTCGTAGAGTAGAGCCCCACCTCACAACACACTGCCGTAGAGTGTAGCGCCGCCTCACTATACACTGTCGTAGACTAGAGCCCCACCTCACTACACACTGTCGTAGAGTATAGCGCCACCTCACAACACACTGTCGTAGAGTATAGCGCCGCCTCACAACACACTGTCGTAGAGTATAGCGCCGCCTCACAACACACTGTCGTAGAGTATAGCGCCGCCTCACAACACACTGTCGTAGAGTATAGCGCCGCCTCACAACACACTGTCGTAGAGTATAGCGCCGCCTCACAGCACACTGTCGTAGAGTATAGCCCCACCTCACTACACACTGTCGTAGAGTATAGCGCCACCTCACAACACACTGTCGTAGAGTATAGCGCCACCTCACAACACACTGTCGTAGAGAATAGCACCGCTTCACAACACACTGTCGTAGAGAATAGCACCGCTTCACAACACACTGTCGTAGAGTATAGCGCCACCTCACAACACACTGTCGTAGAGTATAGCGCCGCCTCACAACACACTGTCGTAGAGAATAGCACCGCATTACAACACACTGTCGTAGAAAATAGCACCGCATTACAACACACTGTCGTACAGAATAGCACCGCATTACAACACACTGTCGTAGAGAATAGCACCGCCTCACAACACACTGTCGTAGAGCATAGCGCCGCCTCACAACACACTGTCGTAGAGAATAGCGCCACCTCACAACACACTGTCGTAGAGTATAGCGCCGCCTCACAACACATTGTCGTAGAGTATAGCGCCGCCTCACAACACACTGTCGTAGAGAATAGCACCGCCTCACAACACACTGTCGTAGAGAATAGCACCGCATTACAAAATGTTGTCGAAATCTAATTCCAAAGCTTCCACAAAGACACTGCATACGGTCATCTGTGTAACGTCGAAAGGCTAAGGTAGAATATGTAGATTCTGTTACGTGTCTATCCCCAAATTGAAACAATATGTTAATCCAGACATATATACGTAAAATAACTTAGCGTGAAACCAACAAACAAACAACAAGTGGTATACAATCAACAAATATATTATATAATATAATATTATGTAAAACTTAACTAAGTTTACAAATCAACACAAATTACTGCACAGCAATTACAATGGCAGTACACAATAAAGTGGTAGTAACATATTCAATAAAAATAAATAATATGATGGCAGTGATCAGTATCAAATACAAAAATACACCCTGATAGCAAAAGTCAGTGATAATAACATATTATTCACCAAGCGGCGACAGTGGTCAAGCTTCCGAGATGGGCAAGGCAGGGAATCAGTGTGATGTTCGATCCTCACATGAAAGATGGTTCCAAAGCGATGACATGCGTGAGGGATACGCAAACACTCTATTGTCCCCTTATATACAACCTAACAAGCTCCTGGAAATTTCTATACCATGCCCTCACCACATAGAACATTACAGAAATTTCGGTAACATGCTATCACTGTTCGCGGAATGCCGAACCGGAAGAAATATGGTAACTTCCTGACGACTGATCACTGCCCAAACACAATGCAATGAGTGTCTTCATCAGAAGCAATGCAACAAAGTTACAATCATTGTTGAAAAAAAATTATACTGCCATATAACTATTCTTATGCCAATATTACACGGCAAAGGACCTGATTTGGGTTTAACGCGAGTTTTCAGCTTGATGTGGGAGGAACTGCTGATGCATGTGTTAGACTTTTACCACTGAAACCTACAAACACACAAACCAAGAAACATCAGAGCGAATGTGGGTGTTGAACTCATAGGTTTCTGGGGCGCATAGGGAACGTATTTCAACAGAACGATTTACGGCGCCATGGACGACATGCTCCGCTGCTCTCAATGATCCACATCAACATCAGAGTCAACATCAGCGTCAACATCAGCGTCAACATCGGACCTGAGCTTATGGTCCGTGAATAACCTATGACCATTTGGACTGCCACTAAACAATAGGGTTGCGCTTTCCTCTTCGTTAATCTGATTCCTGTTGCTCTCTCAATTAGCGACAATTGGGTGGCGAAAGAGCTGCTGCTAGCTTCTGCATCGTTAATGTGTCGGAATATGCGCCAAAAATCAGTTGTCACGAGACTCGTTTGCGGCTAGAGTAACAATGAACGTTGTGATATGTTGTTTGTTCTAGTCTGGACTAGACAATCCGGTGACTACGCCGTCGTAGGTGCGGGGACCGATCCATCTAGTTGGCTAGACAAGGGGCTAGGACCTCTTCTAACCCGGAACCTAAATAATACTTTTGTTTGTTTTTTGTTTAACGCCGCACTCCAGCTATTTGAAGCGGTCTGCAAATAGTAATCTGGATCAGACAACCCAGTGATTGATATAATGAGCATCGATCCACCTGTTGCGGTCCTTAGTGATGTCCCTTCATAAGCAATAGACGTAGAATATAGAATAGTGTAGGTCGGGAAACGAGGTTTCCGTACTTACGGGGTTATGCTGTATATCAGCAAACTACATTGTTATATTATTTGAGGTGAAATGGGGTTTAACGTCTCGTTCAATATATTGCACTTTTATAGCGACGTGCATGCATGTGTATGTGTGTGTGTGCGCGCGCGCGCGCGGGCGTGTGTGTGTGCGTGCGTGTGCATTCGTGTGTGCGAGTGTATGTGCGTGCGTGCGTGCGTGCGTGCGTGTGTGTGTGTGTGTGTGCGTGCGTGTGTGTGTGTGCTTGTACCAGTCCGTACTGATGTTGGTTTTATTCTGCTTGTCCACAGAGAAACCATACCAGTTGAACAAGACTACTCAGACACTAACACAATTTCTGAGCCGACCATGTTTCTTATCCTTGATCCCGAGCACCAGGGTAACAACAAGTACCATCTTTTAATGTCGTTTGGTATGACGCGGCCATGGGATCGAACCATCCGAGCAGGAGCTCTATCCACTAGACCACATTGGTTGTCATCTCCTGAGTCTATACTTCGAAGAGCGGTGGGGTAGCCTCGTGGTTAAAGCGTTCGCTCGTCACGTCGAAGACCCGAGTTCGATTCCCCACATGGGTTTAACGTGTAAAGCCCATTTCTGGTGTCCCCTGCCATGATATTGCTAGAATATTGCAAAAGCGGCATGAAACTATACTCACTCACTTCTTCGAATTGATACCTTTGAACTTAACGTGATATATCAGATGGTATTTTTCCCGAAATTGGGCAGTCATAACCTTCTTTTCTCCCTATCGGGTCAGGTGAGGTGAGGTGAAATTGGGTTTAACGTCGCGTCCAAGATTATTGCACTTATATAGCGACGTGCATGCACGAGTATGTGTGTGTGTGGCTGCTTGTACTAGTCCGGACTGATGCCGATTTATAGTGCTAGCTCACTGAGATACCATGCCGCAGTTTAACATGAATACCCCACTCAGACACAGTATACTGACTCCGAGCCGACCAGTCCTTGTTTTAGCCCCTTAATGCCGAGCGCCAGACAGGGTAAGAACAAGTACAATCTTTTAACGTCTTTTTGTATGACGCGGCCCGGGATCGAACCCTGGACCTTCCGCTCTCCGGGCGGACGCTCTACCACAAGACCACGGAGGCAGTCTCCATCAGGTCAGGCGTATATTGACTATTTATACCACTGACTGGTTCAGGGGAACTGCTGCGTGCGAGCTCCAATGATGTGTGTTCACTGTGGACTAACTGGAGAAAGGTGTCTGCTTTTGACCAATACCCAACCCCGGCAATCTAATGAAAGACAATCGCTCAGAATTATTTTATTATTTCAGTTTTATTATGACAAAGAAACATAACAATGTATTGGTCAGAAACATATTAACATTCAAAATCATAAACAGAGTATCACATCGTAGAAATAAATCGAGCTATGATACTGTTACTCGCATGTCCTTGTATACATTATTGAGTATGCCTGTACAATATACAAGTCTATACGGTAGAGGTGATGTTGTCAGTAGTCTGTGCAACACAGATGACCTGATTGCTTGTCCGCCTTTCAACACGATGTATGTGTATCAAGTATAATTTGTTCGAATTGAACTAGCTTTGTCCACATTACGGGTTATTTGTCCGCCTTTAACAAGCTCTCTGTCGGCCCCGCCCTCTGTGCGTCTGCCTTTTAAACAAGCTTTCTGTTTGCCCAGGCGTCTGTGTGTCCGCTTTTAATAAGTTGGCCTTGGCGTTTATGCATCCAATTTTTTCCGAATTTAACAAGCTGTCTGTCAGCCACGGCGTGTGTAAGCTTCCCCAGGCAAGGCAGTTAACTGACTAAAAAGTCCAGTTCCCACCCTTGCCGAACAAGCTGGAGTAATATATTGGCTGGGCTAACAAGTCTATGCATAGTCCAGTCAAAATCGCGTAACGAACCAGACAGCCGGCTCGTTTACAACATGGATTTCAATGAGCAGATTTCCGTCGACTGCAGGATTTGCTAAGCATGCGCACTGTGAACTTGTCCTAGAGAGATATTTTGCAATATTTTCATGTTTTTAATCAAGGTGCTCATGTGATTTGATGCACTTCGCGGTGTAGGCCGTTTTATTACAATATAAAGCTTGATTATTGATCAGTTCGTCTTGACTGGGTGCCGCCATTTTGTTTGAAGCAAATGCAAGTAATATGAGAGGTAGAATTTGATTGGTCCATAGGATGGACACAGTAGGGACAGAGCTCGTAATAACCACTGGTGGCGCTACGATCAAGCCTTGAAATTAGTCATAGTCCAACCAAAGTCACGCAACGAAATCGGTATCCGGTTCGTAAATTGCTGTGCAGATTTCAGTCGATTGCAGGATTTGCAAAACATGTGTACCGCTGACTCGGTGTCAACAGATATTTTTCAAATCTTTCATATTTTTAATCAAGGTGTTCACGTGTTTTGGTGCACTTCGCGAAGTAAGACCCGTTTTATTTCAATATAGATTTTGATTATCGATCAGACCGTCTTGACTTGGCGCCGCCATTTCGTTAGGAGCAAGTGATATGAGAGGTGGAATCTGATTGGTCAATAGGGGGGTCATAGAAGGGACATAACTCGTCATAGCCACTAGTGGCGCTACAACCGAGCCCGGAAATATCAGCCTAGTTCAGCAGGGGTGGAAACTTGACTTTTACAGTCAGTGAACTCCCTTGCCTCAGGAAGATGTCGTTTGTGCGCCCGCGGGTCTGGCGCTTGAGCGTCCGCATTGAACAAGCTGTCCATCGGCCACAGTGTCTGTGGGTCCGCATTTGAAAATCTGTCTCTCGGCCCCGGAGTTTGTGTATCCGCCTTTAAAAAGCCGTCTGTAGGCTCCAGCTTCTGTGCGTCCGCCTTTAACAAGCTGTCTGTAGACCCCGGCCTCTGTGTGTCCCCCTTTAACAAGCTGTCTGTCATCCTGGCGTCTGTGTCCGCATTCACATGCTGTCTGTCGGCCCCAACGTCTGTGTCCCCTTTTACTAAGTTATCTGTTGGCCCTGGGGTCCGTGTGTCCGCCTTTAACAAAGCTGTCTGTCTGTCCCGACGACTGAATGTCCGCATTTAACAAGCTGTCTGTCGTCCTTGACGACTGAATGTCCGCATTTAACAAGCTGTCTGTCGTCCTTGACGACTGAATGTCCGCATTTAACAAGCTGTCTGTCGTCCTTGACGACTGAATGTCCGCATTTAACAAGCTATCTGTCGGCCCCGGCGTCTGTGGAGCCGACTTAAGGTAGGCCGACAGGACGGATGGGAAGTCGGTCATTACGCCGGTGACCTTCAGTTGGTGGAACGCTCGCTTGTACTCGCTGTCCTTGTTTAGCACAAACAGGAAAGTCTGCAAGTGTAAAGGTAACGATCTGTAAACAATCTGGACGAATCAAACAAGATATAACAATTGCTATATTAAGCCATGGCCGCCGTGCATTTAACCCTTACGTGATCTAGACCACTAGTTGTCGGACTTTCGTTTTTGTGGAAGCCTCGGTGGTTGAGTGGATTAGATCGCTGCCTTTGTTTGCTGGCGATTTGGTGCCTCACTCTGAGAGTGTCGGTTCAAATCTTCAAACAAGATAGCAGTGAACGTTCTTTATAGCCTAAGTACACCGAAGAAATCGTTTTTATAATATACTTCAGTGTGAGATTCCTGAAGTTGAGAAAAGTGATCTTTTGATTGCAGTTAACATAACACTTTGACTGAACTATTGTCTTACAAAGGTTACCTCCCCATCAATTATCTCCCCTTTGTCATAAGTGTGTAGCCCGTACACTTGCTAGTTACGTCAGTTCCACACTGACAAGGCAAAAATATGACAGATAGTAATTTATGGAATTTTTGTTATTGAGGTAGATTTATCATATACTGTTTGTGTAGTTGCCTACCGGGACATTTCATTGTTGTAAAACCTTGAAAAGTAAATTCTCCTAACCTAAGGTAGTAAGGCTCTGGGTGTCCGTTCATTAATTACAGATAATACGGTAAACAGATATTCCTGTAGTAAGATCATAGTCTCAGAACGGTGAGTATATTTCTGTTTTGATCAAGTCAGCAATATCCCAAACAATGAGAGTATGTGACACTTGAACAGAAAGTTCCCGCGAAAGATCAAAACGATGAACGCTGCTTAATATAATTTCTGCTGCGGTGGAGTTTGCAGATAATCACGTTCCTATGGCAACTTACATGAATCCCGCGCCTGGACAGATGACCAAAGAGAGACGATCGCATGAAGAGTCTGAAAGCACAGGTTAACATTAAACTAATTAAAGTGTTAGATACACAGGTTAACATTACACTAATGATAGTGTTAGATACACAGGTTAACATTAAACTAATGATAGTGTTAGGTACACAGGTTAACATTACACTAATTATGGTGTTAGATACACAGGTTAACATTAAACTAATTATAGTGTTAGATACACAGTTTAACATTAAACTAGTCGTAGTGTTAGATACACAGGTTAACATTAAACTAATGATAGTGTTAGATACACAGTTTAACATTAAACTAGTCGTAGTGTTAGATACACAGGTTAACATTAAACTAATTATAGTGTTAGATACACAGGTTAACATTAAACTAATTATGGTGTTAGATACACAGGTTAATATTAAACTAATTATAGTGTTAGATACACAGGTTAACATTAAACTAATTATGGTGTTAGATACACAGGTTAATATTAAACTAATTATGGTGTTAGATACACAGGTTAACATTAAACTAATTATGGTGTTAGATACACAGGTTAACATTAAACTAATTATAGTGTTAGATACACAGGTTAACATTAAACTAATTATGGTGTTAGATACACAGGTTAATATTAAACTAATTATGGTGTTAGATACACAGGTTAATATTAAACTAATGATAGTGTTAGATACACAGGTTAATATTAAACTAATGATAGTGTTAGATACACAGGTTAACATTAAACTAATTATGGTGTTAGATACACAGGTTAATATTAAACTAATGATAGTGTTAGATACACAGGTTAACATTAAACTAATTATTGTGTTAGATACACAGGTTAACATTAAACTAGTCGTAGTGTTAGATACACAGGTTAACATTAAACTAATGATAGTGTTAGATACACAGGTTAACATTTAACTAATGATAGTGTTAGATACACAGGTTAACATTAAACTAATGATAGTGTTAGATACACAGGATAATATTAAACTAATGATAGTGTCAGATACACAGGTTAACATTAAACTAATTATGGTGTTAGATACACAGGTTAACATTAAACTAGTCGTAGTGTTAGATACACAGGTTAACATTAAACTAATTATGGTGTTAGATACACAGGTTAATATTAAACTAATCGTAGTGTTAGATTACGGAGAGAGTTGTTTATAAGATTCTCTCTTTCTGTACATACAGAAACCACCCGGATGTTATGAGAGGCCACAAATCAATGAAATCAGTTTGGTATAAACCAATACAGGCAATACAATATAAGTGCACGCGATCCAGGACCAACACACACACACACACACACACACACACACACACACACACACACACACCACACCACACCACACCACACCACACACACACACACAGACCACACCACACACACAGGCACGCACACACACACACACACACACAGGAAAACACAGACACACACACACACAGGCACACACACCACACACACACACACACAGGAAAACACAGACACACACACACACACAGGCACACACACCACACACACAAGGGCACACACAGACACAGAGGCACACACACACATATTAGCCACGCGTTTTTTCTGCACATACACACACATCATATAAAATATAATATATGTCGCCCCTACTCGCAATCACCCTTATACACATTTAGATATACACATACTATTATCAGTTCCAACACATACTGTACATATATTCTCAAAAGGGCATCGTGCATGTTAAACAGTCTAGAATACATTTAATGTGGTTGGTACATGGTTGAAACGGTATTACGCGGTATATGTTTCATGTGGCGGTATATGTTTCATGTGGCGGTACATGTTTCATGTGGCGGTATATGTGGCGGTATATGTTTCATGTGGCGGTATATGTTTCATGTGGCGTGTTTTAGAGGTGGTGAAAGGTGGTCTACTTACTTGTCTGTCAGCCATACTTTAAATCGATCAAAACCACGATGTTCAAAACCATTTTGGGGACTGAAAACAATAGTGATAGACCAGTTATTACGAAGCACCCGGTGAATAACGGTTCCAAACATGACAAGGAAAACCTACTCCCGGGTCAATAACCAAGAAGCTGGTATGTATGCTGCACAACTGCAGAATCAGGAATATTGTAGCGTGGGTGTTTTACTTACACTTTTACAACAAACAAATGTACAAATACTAGGGACAAAATCTATAACGAAATTCCAACGGAGTTACTGCTCTCGGAAAACTGTGAATAAATATGTAGGTAAATGAGTGAGTTATGCCACACCACGAGTGACGCATAGACGCCTTTTACGACAAGCATGGGTTGCTGAAGACCTACCCGATCCCGTTAGTCGCCTCTTACGACAAGCATAGCGCCTTTTATGGCAAGCATGGGTTGCTGAAGACCTACCCGATCCCGTTAGTCGCCTCTTACGACAAGCATAGACGTCTTTTACGACAAGCAGGGATTGCTGAAGACCTACCCGATCCCGTTAGTCGCCTCTTACGACAAGCATAGCGCCTTTTATGGCAAGCATGGGTTGCTGAAGACCTACCCGATCCCGTTAGTCGCCTCTTACGACAAGCATAGACGTCTTTTACGACAAGCAGGGATTGCTGAAGACCTACCCGATCCCGTTAGTCGCCTCTTACGACAAGCATAGTCGCCTTTTATAGCAAGCAGGGTTGCTGAAGACCTACCCGATCCCGTTAGTCGCCTCTTACGACAAGCATAGTCGCCTTTTACGACAAGCATGGGTTGCTGAAGACCTACCCGATCCTGTTAGTCGCCTCTTACGACAAGCATAGTCGCCTTTTACGACAAGCATGGGTTGCTGAAGACCAACCCGGTCCCGTTAGTCGCCTCTTACGACAAGCCTAGTCGCCTGTCACTTCAAGTAATATTCCACCTAATCGATTCTGTACCACTGACCGCATGCACACGTGAGTACGGCGAGTCTCTAACAGCCTCACCTTACATTGTAACCACCCCGAACCCACCCACCCCGTTTGTCCTTAAGTAAAGCTAGGTGTACAATATGAAGAGGAAGGTGGGAGTCATTCTTCCCCGGACACTCTGAGGGTTCAACAGCGTGGAACAAGAAGAGTTCCGCGGCTCGGCTGATCACGTGTGATTGTTTCACATGTACAGGTTCGAATATTTACAACCGCCTTGGAAGTGCTGGATTAGTGCTGACTGCGGCATTAAACACCATTCATTCACTCAGGATGCGGGTATCACTTTATTCTCATTATCCAGTTCCCCTGACGGTGCCCAGCACACCGATGTGTTATCGATGCCTGACCCGGCCAAGTACTCACTCCAGCTCTATAGATGGCATAGGTGCAACAAGAATGGTTTCGCGCAGTCTGACAAAGGGAAGTAATCCAGTGTAGAACCAGAGGCGCATGAGTAGTCCCCCTTTGTAACTGAAGAAGATCGGAATGTCTGCATTCTGAAATGCACGGAATGGAATCCTTTAAGCACATCTACAATGTAAATATTGTCATCAATCAAACAACTCACTTCGGGAACATTTTTTCTTAAACGTGCAGTATGTATGACAAATTGTAGCTAAAGCAGTAGTAGTAGTAGTAGTAGTAGTGGTAGTAGTAGTAGTAGTAGTAGTAGTAGTAGTAGTAGTAGTAGTAGTAGTAGTAGAAGTGATGATGTAGCTATTATATGAATTGCATCTACAAGATCTACTCTCCGCGTCGCCCTGTTCAACTATTAGAGTACTTTTGAATAATGTAAAATTCTGTTGTAATAGATTAATTTACAGTAATATATAATTCTGTTCAAATAGATAAATTTTCAATAACGTAAAATTCGGTTCAAATAGATTACTTTTCAGTTATTTAAAATTAGGTTCTAATAGATTAATTTCAAAAGGTAAATTGATGAATTTCCAATAATGTAAAATTCTGTTCTAACATATTAATTTTCGGTAAAATTTGAAAAATAATAAATTAAATTAAGAATTTGTAGAGCGCATTTTTAAATTAACAACTGCTCAAATGCACTTAGACCATGATTGATCTTGTCAAAGGCTCTCTTGAAGAGACAGTGTCTCTTTAAAGTTTGTCAGATATTCTGTTGTTTTCTGCATGTTGAAATGACCTATCACCATATGTTTTGGTACGTGACTTGGGCACCACTAGCAGATGTTGATCTCACAGGATCAGTTCCTGTAAGTATGCAGGAGCCAAACTAAGCATTAATGGAACATTTTTATCATTACCCGTATCATTGTACAGTGTCTCAGTTTGGAATAAGGTGAGAGCTCTGGCTAATCAGTTTTAAGAAATGCAGCGGGAGGAAAGTATGGTAAAAGTGATTTACCTGCGAATACATGAGTGTCGACGTGGATTTGTTTTCGCTGCCCCAGATGGTCCTGTCCGCTCTGTCAAACTCTGCTATCAGATCCGACACCTACAGGAACAGAACACAGCTCTATTCTAATATACACGACACCGGTGGAGGTCAATCACAGGTCCAATAGCAGCGTCATGGCGACAGCGACTGTAGGTGAGTGAGTGGGATTTTACGCCGCTTAGGTATATCTCGGAAGCTTGACCACTGTCGCTGCTGGGTGAAGCTATCGTTATCAATTACCTTTGTTGTCACCGCTATTTTTGTATTTGATACTGACCACTGCCATTATGTTGTACACCTGGATCATCAAGAATGGGTGTTTCACATTGTACACCTGGGTCATCAAGAATGGGTGTTTCACATTGTACACCTGGGTCATCAAGAATGGGTGTTTCACATTGTACCCATGTTGGAATCGAACCCGGGTGTTCAGCGTGACGAGGCGATGCTGTTACCACTAGGCCACCTGAAGCAGCTAGCGTATCTCGTTGTTCCTACTTACTCCACTCCTATAACCTTAGCCACCTCCTTAAATACAAACTCGAAGCCGTACTTTAATTTTTAAGAATCGTAATTCACATTAATTGACAATTCATCCAACACACACAGCATTCCAAACGAATACGGATTGACATACTTACTATACATACTCTCCTATACTGATTACATATTCAGGTATGTTCGCTGTTGTTAAACCCTATAATACACAAGTACCCCGCTGTCCGATTATCTAATGATAACGTGCTCAAATATTTCATTCGCCAGGACTCAAATACTCAAATATTATTAAATTAGATTTTTTTATGCCGATTCGGTATCTATGTCAGCTTGACGGGGATCGGGGCGGAAAATTCTATTTAAATGTGACCGTTCGATACTCTCATGCGGAAGTACTTCAATATTTCAAGCATCCCAAACAGACATATTACACCTTGTATATCACTCTTAGTGATAGATAAATCGAAGTCGGCATTGTAGGTTTGAAACAGAATCAATTTGCTCAGAGATTATATAGAGAATATCACCCGAGTTGATAAAAGTGGAAAAATTCCGAGGCTTGCCGAGGATTTTTGCCACTTTTATCAACGAGTGTTCATATATTTGATATCAAAAGACACGAGGGTGAGATTTTATTTATCATCCAACATCATGCTTCCAACTTTTTCAGTTTGTAGACAGTAATTAGCAGTGCCTTAAGTGTAAAAAGTACTGCTAACAGCTTCAGTAGCAGAGCCATTAGTGATGTCATTTGATTGTGACGTCATGGTAACCGGTGACGTCACAATGGTCTGCAAAGCATTGTGATGAAGTTTCATTGCAGCGATATCTACAGTGTAGATATCGCTTGATCTCATCCAAGCGATATCTCCTGTGGGAGCCAGTTTTGGATGATAAATCTTTATTCCATGACACTCAAATTATTAAATGACCACCAAGTTCTCGTTACCGTTCTGTTTCTAGTCGACCGCCCGTGTGAGGAGGTCTAGCATCAGCATGACCGTCTGGTTGTGTAAGGTCGGGAACCTATACGAGCACGGACATGCTACTACACCGATCCGATGTACCATCCTCGGTTAACCAGGGTATCATATTGCCATTCAATCAGTACAATGGGGATATAGTATCCTGGGTAATCGAGGATGCAGATGTACGTGCCTAAAGATAGTGTAATACATCTGAACCACATCCGGTTTCACGTCGTGATATAACCGCAATGCCTGTTAAACTCACTCACTCACACACTCACTCACACACTCACTCACTCACTCACTCACTCACTCACTCACTCACTCACTCACTCACTCAACTGAATATCTTACCTTTTGGATGAGCAGCTCCTGTGTGCCTTTCAGTTCAATCAGGACAGGAACATCCCTGAATGCCTCAAACACTTCTCTCAGTGTCAGTATCCGTGTGTCATCGCCGTACGTCCTGTGACCTGTTCACAATACAAGAGAGTACGTCAGTGTGTATGGATAACCAGACCGTCTGACATCAGTTGCGAGAACAATCTATAAGTTTTGTTCCTGGAATGTGTTGTCAACTCTATCGTTGATCAGAGCCTCTTAAGATAATTATATCTTCTAACACATTAGTAGTAAGATAATCATGTATATTTATATATATTCATCATGTGCAGAAGTAGTCGTAGTCGTAGTCGTAGTAGTAGTAGTAGTAGTAGTAGTAGTAGTGGTAGTAGTAGTGGTAGTAGTAGTAGTAGTAGTAGCAATATCAGTTGTAGAAGTAGAAGCATTAGTAGTATCAGTAGTTGTAAAGGTAGTAGTAGTAGTAGTAGTAGTAGCAGCAGCAGAAGGCAGTAGTCGTATTAGCATTAGTAGTAGAAGTAGTAGTAGTAGTAGTTATAATGACAGCATTAATAGCAGTAGTAGTAGTAGCAGCAGCAGCAGCAGCAGCAGTAGTTGTAGTAGTAGTAGCATAAGTAATGGCAGTTGTAGTAGTAGAATGAATGAATGAATGCAAAAGATGATATCATTTGTAGCATGTCACCTTTTCTGTAGTAGAGATCAAGCGGTGGCTTCATTGGTGGCAGGTCCTGGGACAGAATATAGCGATTTACAAGAAAATTAAAATACGGAAACTCTCTCAGATGTGTTAAAGAGTTTACCGAATTGACATTGAACCAGTCGCTAGACAGACGAATGACTCGCTGGTCAGAGGTCGCAGTCCATCTGTAGGTATACAATAACCCTTGCACTGTACATTGCGCGGTTACATGGGAAGCTAATAATGCTGATATGATCATTGGCGTCTCAGCTCGTGTTTGAGAACACGGAGGGTGTTGAGCTTAGATCTCAATGAGGAACATTCCATACATATGAGGATGGTCTGAAGATAATCATGTCTGGATCAGTCAAACCAGTGACTGACAGCACGAACAACGACCAACGCAATTGGAGTACGTTGAAACGCAGCGGTGACCACTAGATCCTCCACGTCATCGGCTCTTTGGGCCAGCATTGGATACTGGGGTACACGAGAGCAAATCACCCGGAATCAACAAATACGGAGAACACAGCAATTCAAGGGGAGAAATAATAATTTACAAAAACAAACTATAAGAATCACGATGTGAATGAATTTGTAAGGCCACCGAATTTCAGTTACATCATTTCGCGTCCGTCTCAGGTGGAGTGAGTGAGGGTGGTTTACGCCACTGTTAGCAATATTCCAGCAATGATACGGCGAGGAACTTACGTCGAAGGAAACTCCGCAAAGATGCAGGTCTTACACGTGTCCAACATGCTGAAACGAGCTCGTGGTGATGCTGACTGACCAAGGAGAGAATGAGTCAGTGAGGGAGTTTGGTTTTACGCCTTTTTCAGCAACATTCCAGCAATATCAAGCGGGGGATACCAGAAATGGGCTTCACACAAAGTACCCATGTCGGGAATCGAACCCGGGTCTCCGGCATGACGAGCGAACGCTTGAACCACTAGCCTTACCCGACCGCCCCTACTGATCATACAGGATTATTTATCTGAAACTAGACTCAGCGGATCCTGTCTCCTCTGCACCGCGAACTGCAAATACGCCACTTGGCCACCCGTGACCCTGCGTCCTTGGTTTCATGTTTCTGTTCTTGGACGACTTACCTCATATTTAGTGCTGATGACGTCGTCCGGGACTCCACAGCACCTTTGCAGGGTCTCGTCATGGAACACCACAACGACGTCATCGCTCGTCAACCTGACGTCCATCTCCAGAATGTGGGTTCCGACCTCGACGGCGCTGCAAGAGGAGAGATGTGTTAAGACTACGGACTTCCTCGTCGTTCTGTGTTGCTGCTAAAGGCCTTAATCACGGTTTGGGTCCAAGTCAAGGTTTAGGCCTATATGATTTAATATAATATGATATAATTTAGATAGGGTCTCAAATGGTTTAAACAGATTTTGTTCTATGATTTGGAATCATTTAAAGATTCTCTCATGTTGATCTACTGCTTTTTTATTGAACGATTGTTTCATTTTTCAAAAATGAAAGTGTCTGCTGAAGGCTTTAATTCATATCATGACAGAGATTATTTTTCTGAATTTCTTATGCTGGCGTCTCCTTCATGCTATCTGAACGATTTCGTGTCGTTGTTTTTTTGCAATACAATACAGTACTTTGTGACTCTTATTAAGTTAAGTCAATGTGTTGGGCATAAATAGGCCTTCTGTTGGCCCACGTCACCTTTAAACATCACCACCACTACAGGAGACAAACAGTAAACTACTGTTATAACGAACTCAAAGGGACCACTAATTTTAGTTCGTTATAACCGTAGTTCGTTATAAGCATATATACAGCATATACGACCTGGACGGGATCAAAACACATTTCGTTATATCCATCAGTTAGTAATAAGCGTGTTCGTTATAAATGAAGTTTACTGTAGTTTCACAACATCTTTCTTTCGGATGACATCGGGTCAGCTGAGCGAGTTTATCACCGCACACACACTGTTGACATGTGGATTCAACTCGCTGTCATGTTCAGATTAAGTTACACAGCTATTCGGATAGTTGCGTGAACGTGAAACATTTACCGATGTCGTCACACCTCTCAGCACAATCTACCAACATGCAGAGAGAAGCGATTGAATATAGGTCAAGGTCGTAGGATATACGAAACCCTGTTTATGCGAAACCGCTTTCCGAACAATTGCTGTGAGGCACGTTGACAAATATTTAAAGCACAATACTCCTTAGTAAAATTTGGAATTTCGGATATGTGTTAATCTGGGCTGTTTCTCTGATTGGGAATTTAACGTCCGGATTAGCGAGGTTTTGCTGTACATACTTGGTGAATGCGGACATGGTTCCCTCCAGCTTCTCTCCACCGCCTGAAAAAAATAATATTACTTTATTTTTTATTGCATGCAAAAATACTTACAACAGGTTGTAAAACTGACAGTTGAAATAGTGTTATAATGAGAGAATTCCAGTCTACTTACATTGACCAAGCCAGCAGTTCCGGCATGAAACATACATGAACAAAGGACCCCTCTGTGTACTGTCATCACCAAGAGTGAGTGAGTGAGTTGAGTTGCATGCCAGTTTAAACAATAATCGGATCCCAGCGTGCAACTAAAGGTGGAGGGGGGTCGCAGGCAATGTTAACCACAGAAGTGGAGCAATATTCCAGCAATATCACGGCGGGGGACACCAGAAATGGGGTTAACACATGGTACCCATGGGGAATCGAACTCGGGTCTACGGCGTGACGAGCTAACGCTTTCACCACTAGGCTGCCTACCACACCTTGAATTATTGACGATACAAGATATGTACGATTCAAGTTCTTCATGGCCACTGTGATCGAGTGTCACAATGTGTGGCCTGGCTGATTATGTGTCATCGGACCCCGCCGGTGTGATCTTTGCTCATGCTATCAACCAGTGGTTTACCTGCTCGTGACTTGCTTATTTACAGACCCTGTGATAAACCTGAAATATTGTCGGTCGTAAAGCAAACTCACTCACTAAATTTAGAATATCAAAACGTTCTAGTTCATCAAAATTCTTCTCTAGCAACAAATATTCAAATCGCAGGAACAGGTTCCCAAGCCATGGCAACTAATGAATCGCGTGGTCAGTTTTGGTTGACAATGTGTCGTCATACCTCGACAGCGTGGATCGTGAGTCATAATATCAATCTCTGGATTGTCTGGCCAACACTCGATTATTAACAGGCCATCGTTATACACTTAGTGTGTCGTTAAACTATAAACGAACAAACCATAGGAAAGGTCAGTCAAGTGTTCCCATGCAGCTGCAGAGGCATGTCACATGACGCCGTGTTCGATGTAATTACCTCCTCGGTGACTCAAGTGTCGTCGCAGCTTAAATCCGTAGTCCTTCTTCCTTTTGTGAATTAATGTAGGCTTCAGGAAAAATACAACTGACACAATTACATAGATGAGAATCGGAAGTCCGACACCGAGGGTCAAGGCCACAGGAAGTGTCCAGGCGGCCATCTTGGATTCTGGTATCGATAGTTGTCTGAAAGGGAAATAAGTTAAAATAATAACATATCTGTCTGTGTGTGTGTGTGTGTGTGTGTGTGCGTGCGTGCGTGCGTGCGTGCGTGCGTGCGTGTGTGTGTGTGTGTGTGTATGTGTGTGTGTGTGAAACAGGCTAAAACTGTATCAAGTTCACCCATAAAATGTCATTTCACGTTATGAATGACTGGTTCGCATGGTGCAGACAGGTTGTTATTCAGCCTTGGGACCAACAATGTTTAGAGGTCTTTAAAGTGTTGTCACTACCTCTAGTGTACAGTACATTCACCCTGTGCACTCAAAAGAACCCACTCGTAACAGACTGGGTGATATACTATAACATTGATGTCTATGAAATCCCTATTAGCCCACGACTCCTTATAAACAATGTTCATACTATCAGCCACTAGTTCGCCGGGTTCAGAATTGTATTATAACTGTAATATTGATAAATATGACATAAAACAACATTCATTTACACACTACTGGTACCTATAATTCCCACTATCAACCGTTGGTTCCCCGATGTGGTCACAGCCGTGATATAACTGTTATATTCCAGATTGTGACGTCACCCTTCTACTCGCACTTCTCATGAACACCGTTACTGCCACTAGAACTGTGAGTAGCTCCAACGTTCTATCTGAATCTCCTCGACAACCACATTCAGTAGTATTAATTGCCGAACCATCAATTAAACATGGAATTACCGGCTCCGCAGCTGAGGTCAACACAACGACTGCATCCCATCTCTATCATTCAATTAAAGATGCAACGTCTGACCTTTGCTTCAGCACTTTCAGCGACAACAAATTGTGGCAACTTCAAGACTGGTTCATTGCTGTGTTTACGCTGCGTCATCTAAATCTTATTTAGATATAGCTTCTCTTTTCGATGTATTCCGATGAGTCTATTTTTAGCCGACGTTCATGCTTGAATTCCTTTTTTAACAATGGTATCTTCGCACGGGACAGCGTAATTAAAGCCAATTTTGCCCATTTTCAAACAGAACTCAATTTCATAAAATGAACAACGCTACACCAGAAAAAGCTACCTTGTACCTTTAAAACGGGCGTTCCTGTTATACTAAGTTCACTTGGGACTCTGCCGCTAACTCACAACAAAAACGCAAATGAAAGCCAAGCAAACAGTCCTGAGAAGCTTACACAAAGGTATCTGATCATTAAACCGAGTGTCGACTACAAAACGACCCCGCACTATCAGCAACTGAACCTTGTGTTGATTATCCAGACAAACTATGTGTGTTAATGAGTACACAATAAAGTATTACTCACATGACTACGCGAATTCACTTCTGCTCCAATTGTCGTCTGCCCCAGTTGTCGTCTGCTCGGGCTTGTCCTGCAGTGAAGAAAGAAAATCGATCTTCTGGCCTTCCCGCCTAACAGATATCTTTTCAAGCCCAGGTGACATACAAACGCACACGGGTTGGCTGTATCTGTTCAGAGGTCGAGCGGTTCCGTTTCTATGTCCGCAACAACGACTATAGAATGATTCTCACACCCAAAATAGAACCAGTCAACTATTGATTTTCCATATCTTCGTCATAGTATGTCGAGCGTGTCGTGTCTGCACTCACGTGTATTAATTACTTATAGTACTGACTCATCTGTAGAAGTGTATCAACTTGTTAACTTAATTTTGACTTTAAAACACCACATCATGTATACTCACAGACCATGCTGTAGGTGTGGAACTCATTCTTATATCACGTGAGGAATCGCTGGGGATAGTGTTAGGAGATTCCATGAACTCATCGGCTGTGCAAATCACCTGATCAAGCAACGGAAGACCCCAGGGTTAATAAAACGGCATGCTTATAAATACTTCCGTGCCGAACTCTGGAACAAGGTCAACCGGTCCAGTAGTTCGGGGAGTAGGGTCATACTTCAACATCATACGCGATACAATCTCACAGTCGGGTGAATAGTTTGTATGCGTACATGTACAAGTATATCTAAACCATAAGCATCAGTGTGTAACGTTGTGTGACGTTGTGACGACAGTTACTATTGGTAATAGCCCATGATTTAAAGTATATCCTTTAGAACGTTATATATTTTAAGTCATTGGCATTTAGGGATATGTAGAATTATTGAATATGAAAGGTTAAGGTCATATCTGCCCAAATGTCCCAAATATTTATTTTAAAGTTGACTCAGGATAATTGATAAATGCGACTGAGATTGTGACAGCATAGACAGTGTGGTTCAGCTTTTGTTATTCCTGTGCGTTTCGGTCCAGATACTAGAATGTTTAGACCTAAACCCCAACTCACTCACTCACCCACTCACTCACCCAACCACCCAACCACGCACGCCCGCACGCTCACTCACTCACTCACTCACTCACCCACGCACTCACGCGCACTCACTCACCCACGCACTCACGCGCACTCACTCACCTTTCACTCACTCACCCACGCACGCACGCACGCACGCTCACTCACTCACTCACCCACCCATGCACTCACTCACTCACTCACCGCCTATGAAGCAGAAACATCCAAGTGTAGCACAGAGGAAATCGTTGAGCAGGTTATAGTGTATTGTTCTCTGCACTTGACAGCATTGATCCTCTGCGGCAGCTTGAAGGTGCAGTTCAACTGGTGTCAGTTGAATCATACATACATAGTGTGATGAACTGACTCGAAGACAGGGTTAAGGGTTGTGGGGAGCATAGATGTACGTCCAGCTGGGCTGAGTCAGACTGGCTGCATTATCTACACAATATCTGCACCTCACGACATAAGGCAGGCGTCATTGTAAAATAACTTCTATAACAATTATAATGTGATTCATTCTGTCAACAACACACTGACACTGACCTGCAGGTGTAGATCTCGTCCCCCGCGCGCGCAGCATCCACCCCTCCGTGTGTACGCCACTCACAGACCCCCGCCGACCGTCTTCAGGAAGTTATAACTATTTGACGTCTAGGAGTTAATTATTTACACCAGCTGGAGGATCGAGTCGGGGATGACTGAGTATGTGTGTGTGTGTGGAGGGGGGTTTGGGGGGGGGGGGGGGGGGGGGGGGGTGATGTTAATGATGAAGGGAGTTATTGGATAAATGTGCGCGTTGCTGAGATAGGAACAGAGGATTAGTATGTAGTGTCTGCAGAAAATCTCCTGACGCAAGCATTACATCGACACGTCGGCAGCGCTTCATCACCTGGCCCTGCTGAAATACTGGCGGAAGAGATGCTTTTCTGGCTTCATGTAATAACTACGAATAACATATATGAAAACAACGCAAATCTAATTGGGTTTGATTGGCATTACTTAGAAGTTGACGGATGACAAAAGAGAGATATTTTTTTATGGATAACAACTTCTTTATTGCTTGACAGCGGTCTAAGGATCAATAGCGAAACGTCGCCTTGACAGTAAATAAAGAAGTTCATATCCATACATTGTGTCTTCTTTAACCTAAAAAGGTACTTTTACAGGTAAAATGATTAACTATTCGTGTGTTGTCATGCATGTGTGATACGGCCTATAGCCTGAGGTAATTACCTGACACCTGTCCCGAGGTGATGACCTCACACCGGCCCGTGCATTCTCACTTGTACAAATATCACCTGATTTGGAGGTGGTTTCAAAATGGTGTTATTTACTTTATTGAGATATGCGTTGACAGGAGTAGCAATTAAGAAACATACTGCATTATATTTGCTTGGGAAAATGGTGGAATAGTTTTAAGCTATGAAACGAGACGAGTATTGAGAGGTTGGGGTTTTTTTAATCAAGAAGTATTTGTAGTTCTTCAGTTGATTTCTAGAGTCGCTTTCAGACTACTAATGGTTGACGCGACAGAGTCTGGTCCCCGGGTGTTATGAAAACTGGCGTTATCTATGCGAATATAACTGGGGTTGTTTAGATTAGGCAGTAGAAACGCAAAAATGATATTAGATGAATATTTTATACATCATATAAAAAATCGATTTTTCAAAAACGGCACATATCATTGTCATTGACCAAGGTTTCCTATGGCACACATGGAACAGTAGATGTTCAAGGTGAAGGTCGTCCGTTCTCAATATCTTGTATGGCCACCATTAGAGTCCATAACTGACTGGCATCGTCGTCTCATAGAAGCAATCAGAGTTGTGGCCTGGGGAATGTTCACCCACTCTTCCTGCAGAGCTTGTGCTAACTGTCGGAGGTTCTGTGGTTGTTGCTGACGTGCTCTCAGCCGTTGACCCCGTGCTTCCCGTAAATGTCCGATGGGGTTTAAATCTGGAGACCTGGAGGGCCATGGCAGGACCTGGATGTTGTGATTCCTGAAAAAGGCGGTTGTCTGTGTTGCCATGTGAGGTCGGGCGTTGTCTTGTTGGAAGGGCGTGTTGTACGTATAACGCTGTGCCGTTAAATTCCCCAGAACTCGCACCAAGTCTGTTCTACCAGAGATGGCTGCCCACGTCATCACACTACCACCACCAAATCTGTCCACTTCCTGTATGCAGTTTCGTGAATAACGTTCCCCGCGACGCCTGTAAACATGACGTCTACAATCATAAAAAAATGACTCTTCACAAAACCAAACTTGTTTCCATCGCATATGTGGCCATACTCTGTGACCTTGACACCATTGATGTTGCAGCCGACGATGCAGGTCCGTCAAAATGACACCTCGAACTGGTCGTCTAGCGCGAATACCCTCAACGGTTCCCCACTGTCTGAGCTGATATCCTACGCAATTCTGGTATTGCCGTAGTTGTGGAGGAAGCCGTGGTGGTTCTTTCATGTAAGTGACGTAGCCGTATGACGGTATGAATCGCTCTCTTGCTCTGGTAGTGATCGGGATCAACCGGATCTGGGAAAGTCACGTGTTGTCCCCTGTGTCTGATAACGGTTCCACAGTCTTGTAATGGTGCTTGGTGCTACGTGGAAAAACCTGGGTACGGCCAAAGATGACTCTCCTGTTTGTAGTCGGCCGATGGCGTTGTTGCGTTAGGATTCCGTCAGTCGTGGCATGTGTTCGCTATTACTGAACTTGGGATCTATTTTATCTACTCTACTTTATCATGTCAACCTGTACCAGTCGATGTAAAATGAATCTGTAGTCACAATGATTTCGTGTAAAATTCTGCTAAATATTGAATCTTTTCCTTTCAATGATGCATGTAGTCTGAGTGAGCACATGTGAAAATTGAAATTTTAGTGTGATTCTTCTGTTTGAACATTGTATTGAGTGTCTTTTATTCAAAAGGTAGGCAACCAAAGTGTCCAGTTTTGGAAAAGTATTTGTCAAAACATCATCCTTGCCAGTGAAAGCCTGTGGTAAAGACAGAAGAAAAAAATCCAAGAAATTGGCATATGACAATCTCCCTGGTGGTCCTAATGCCCGGGGGCAGGACTTGCAAGACTGTATACCAACCACTGCCTCACAGCAACATGCATCACTGTGCTGGATGTCAAGGGAGTAGAGGCTAGACACAGCATGGATGTAGTTGGACACAGATCAGAGACATCAATTAAACATGAAGTCTTTGATAGGCATTTAGAAGTTGGGGGTACATGAATACATGACACTTTTTATGGATAGCAACTTCTTTTATCCTTTAGACGACGTTTCCTAGCTTCTTCCTGCTCCTTCATCAGGTGAAGGGGCGGTCAGGTAGCCTAGTGGTAAAAGCGTTCGCTCGTCACGCTGAAGACCCGGGTTCGATTCCCTACATGGCTACAATGTATGAAGCCCATTTCTGGTGTCCCCTGCAGTAATATTGCTGGAATATTGCTAAAAGCGGCGTAAAACCATACTCACTCACTCAGAAGGTGAATGATGAAGGAGCAAGACGTAGCTCTAAAACGTCGTACAAAGAATAAAAGAAGTTGCTATCCTCAAAAAAGTGTGTCATGTATTCATCAACCAAACATCCTGCGAGAAATGGGGACAGGAAGCATGAAGTGTGTCGTGTGTTAGGGGGGGTACTGTCACATGTTGCCGAGGGGGAAGTGATTTGATACTAGTTTCCAACGACTGCATCCAGCAACGTTTACAGGAAACTGATTTCAGCGTGACAGCCGATGCAGCAGAAAATGCAGCTACTTCCGCTTCAGCGCCAACAGCTCTGCAGGTGTGCAGGTGTGTCGCCTCTCTCATGTGTGTGGTGTGTCTCTGTCATGTTCTAGTAAAGTCACATCTTGCCCCACAAACAGTCAATTATACAGCTCACATTCACCGCAACCAGGCAAAGTAAATTTTGTCTAATCTGATATTTGATATTACAGACATGTGTTCCTATTACTTAATAACTGACGTTGGAAAAGTAATTATCTTTAATTATTCCAAATGTCGAGTTGTCAGTCCCACGCAGGTCAGATTTATGATTTATCTTGACATTCCCAGATTGCCAAACAGTGAAAAGAAATGGGTTTCCACAGCTAGTCTGTGTATGAACAATGTTAAAATAAAGTTGTATATGTTTACCATTTTTACATTTTTGTGAAATGTGTTTATTGTGATACATTGAAACTCCCTGGCTCTGTCTGAAGGAGGCAACATGGTATGCAGACATGTATGTGAAGGATGCAAAGGGAGGCTACTCCTTGCTGCCTTTTGGCAGCAGTGCTCAGTGTAAGGGAGACAACCCTTCATAGTTAAGGTATTTCTCATGTTGACTGATAGCAGTACATATATTACTGAAGTGAACAGCGGAGTGTTTGAAGGCTTCATAAACTTAAAGTGAACTTCGGAACAACACAAATGTTTACTCTTGACGAGGTCAGTATACGAAAATACAGAACCTTGGACACGATCCCTTCGCCGGTCTGACCGAACCCCGGGGGTCGGGTCCTCAGGTCCTTGATCTGCGCTAATTGACCTCGCCAAGAGTAATTATTGATATAAAATCCATTGAGCACAGCAGATGTCATGGTACTGTAGCTCAGAGAAGACACTATGATCCATGGTGCAGTGTCTCAGAGAGGACAACAAGGTCCATGGTACAGTGTCTCAGAGAGGACAACAAGGTCCATGGTACAGTGTCTCAGAGAGGACAACAAGGTCCATGGTACAGTGTCTCAGAGAGGACAACAAGATCCATGGTACAGTGTCACAGAGAGAACAACAAGGTCCTTGGTACACTATCCCAGGGAGGACAACAAGGTCCATGGTACAGTGTCTCAGAGAGGACAACAAGGTCCTTGGTACACTATCCCAGGGAGGACAACAAGGTCCATGGTACAGTGTCACAGAGAGAACAACACGATCCATGGTACAGTGTCACAGAGAGGACAACATGCAAGGTCCATGGTACAGTGTCACAGAGAGAACAACAAGATCCATGGTACAGTGTCACAGAGAGGACAACAAGGTCCATGGTACAGTGTCTCAGAGAGGACAACAAGGTCCATGGTACAGTGTCTCAGAGAGAACAACAAGACCCATGGTACAGTATCCCAGAGAGGACAACAGGGTCCTTGGTACAGTGTCACAGAGAGGACAACAAGGTCCATGGTACAGTGTCTCAGAGAGAACAACATGATCCATGGTAGAGTGTCTCAGAGAGACCAACATGATCCATGGTACAGTGTCTCAGAGAGGTCAATGTGATCCATGCTACAGTGTTTCTGAAAGCCAACATGGTCCAATGTACTGTTTCCCAGAGCGGCCAACATGGTCCATAGGTCCAATATCTCCAATCGGCCGACATGGTCCATGGCTCTACTCCTCGCGATCCTTCTTCTCGGCATCCAGTCGGTCCAGATGGTCCTTCAGTCGGGAGGGGAAGTCTGTGATGACACCGGTGGCGCCCAACTCGAACGCGCGGTCAAACTCGTGTGGCTGATTCAGGCAGTAGACGTATGTCTGAAATAGAACAATGTGTCGGAACAATAGGATACAGTTGTAAGTGTAGAATTTTGTCTGACGCCGCATTGAACATTACTTCAGATACATAGCAGCTTGGTAGGATACCCCGAAGTAATGCAGGTCTTTGACGTTTACCATTTGGTTAAGCTAACGAAAACAGGACGGTGCTGACAGACCAAGAATTAGAATCGGGGCGAAGCTGAATTCGAACCACAAGGGACGCAACTCTTTGTGCTACGCAAGGATAATATTTTGTAGGGTCACGAGATGTCCCGAATGGACCCGTGAGTAAAACGAGTAGTAACAAATGGTTTCTCGAGGAAGCTATGCCGAATATTTTCTAAGGGTATGGTTATCATATGTCTTGCATTTATAAATATACCCAAGATACAGTAAACTGTGTTCAATCATACTGTATAATACTGTAAGTTCCGATGTGTTTTCAATAGCATCTCTTTTCGATATATGAGGGAAATGTACGTGAATCATTATATGTACGACAATTCTTTTAGCTTTGCCCGTTTGCGCTTTGACGGAACCCAGTCTCAAAAATGGCAACGAGAGGGATCCGAGTCGCTATTCGGCTTGTCCCGGATTAACATGAGTTGGTCACGAATGCTTTTAGGTCACAGCTCACCGGTATCCCTCTGGCTCTCAGATGTTTGATCAATCCTCCGCTCATCATCAGTCTGAAAGGGAGAGTTAGTGAGTTACGTATGACCTCACACTACGTCTTCCGTTTATCTGTTGAGTGGTTATTGCCTCAATGACCCGTCACAACCAGCATACCCAGTCACAACCAGCATACCCAGTCCAACACCCACTGGTTGTTTGTTGTTTAACGCCGCACTCAGCAATATTCCAGCTATATGATGGCGGTCTGTTAATAATCGAGTCGGGACCAGACAATCCAGTGATTGACATCATGAGCATCGATCAAAGCAATTGGGATACGATGACATGCATGAAGCAAGTCAGCGAACCTTACCACCCGATCCCGTTAGTCGCCTCTTATGACAGGCATAGTCGCCTTTTACGGAAAGGATAGGTTGCTGAAGACCTATTCTACGCCGGATTCTTCACCCATTGATAGTATCACAGCACCTACTGTTAGTATGCACATAACTATTATCAGTTTGTGACTTCTGTAGGCCTCATTATCTTAACTTTTTGAAGATGAAACAAATTTAAATATGAATACATGTCTTAAGTTGTTGATAATTACAAATTAATGGGCTGACCGACTTTAAGGTCATTTTTCATTACTGAAAATAATTAACAAATTAAAATGAGGACTGTATGTTATATATTTGTGACGTGTTAAAGATTTCATATCATATTTGTGCCGTCATTTTCAATACGACCCTCCCTCTTGGTTCATGCACCGTGACATCAGAGAACATTTGTTGAAAACCGCGTTAAACCCAACTCACTCACTCACTTGTCAATAATCCATGTTTTCCAGCCTCTCACGTACCCGACCTGGAAGCCTCGCTGGGGGCTGCAATAATTACAATACAACTACACCTACGAGTACGACGACGACTACTACAACAATAATAATACAAAGACGGCGAGTGATGATGATGATGATGATGATGATGATGAAGCTTTTGACTTTCCCAAGTTCCCAATATGCTGCTTAGAAAGGGATTTCCCCATGTGCTTCCCCATTGGGAATACTTAAAATGTATAATTATATTTGCCAAAGGTTCACAAAATACAATCTTTATTCCTAACATGGGATATTTACGATACTGAAACCCACTCGGCTAACGATCTTTATTAGTCCCTTAGTGTGTTGACATAATATTTTATCATATAATGAATAAGTTTCGCTTCAGGATAACGCCCAGGAGGACGGTATCCGTTGGGGTTATCCAAGGCTCGCCAAATACAATGTGTTACGAGATGCAGGGTATTTACCATACAAAACACACGTACGAAAATATCTCTATATCTCATACGAAATATAAGAGTGTGGGCTCGAATACCGAATGGGACTCACGCATCACACAGACTTACTCCAGCGTCAGCAACGGCATAGGAGTGAGGTACACCGTCTCCTTGATGGGCGTGAAGGGCAGGAGACCGAGGTAGAACAAGAAGAGGAATACAGAGCGACGGTGCCGGTTCACCCACAGCGGGATGAAGGGGTTCTGGAATAATAACCACTCAGTGACGTCATCAGGGTACTCAAGCTAACGCCAGGAATTATTTTATCGAAATTCATTTATCATCCAAAACTGGCTCCCACAGGAGATATCGCTTGGGTAGTCATCGCTGCAATGAAATTGCATCACTATGCTCGTGACGATTGTGACGTCATTGTTACCATGACGTCAGAATCAAATGACATCACCAATGGCTCTGCTACTGAAGCTGTTAGCAGTACTTTTAGACACTGCTTATCACTGTCTACAAACTGAAAAATGATGTTGGGTGATAAATATCAAACAACACTCGGGTGAGATTCTCTATTTATCCTCGTGTTTACATTTAATAATCGACCACCTCCATGGTCTGGTGGTAGAGCGTCCGCCAGAAGAGCTGAAGGTCCGGGGTTCGATCCCCGGTCCCAAAAGACGTTAAAAGATTATACCTCTTGTTACCCTGTCTGGCGCTCGGCATTAAGGGGCTTAAACAAGGGCTTGGCTCGGAGTCAGTATACTGTGTCTGAGTGGGGTATTCGTGTTAAACTGTGGCATGGTATCTCAGTGGGCTAGCACTTTCAAATTGGCATTAGACCGAACTAGTACAAGCAGCCGCACACACACACACACACACACACACACGTCGCTGTATAAGTGCAAAAAATTTGGACACGTTAAACCCCATTTCACTTCACCGTCGGGATCCTGATGAGAATCGGTCTCCAGCAACCCATGCTTGTCGTATAAGGCGACTAACTGGATCTGGTTGTCATGCTCGCTGACCAATTATTGCATAAGTCGATGCTCATGATGTCAATCGCTGGATTGTCTGGTCCAGACTCGTTTTTTACAGACCGCCGCCATATAGCTTGAATATTGCTGAGTGCGTCGTTAAACAACAAACACAGGAACTATTTTACAAGCAGGTTTTTTTCATGAAGTTGACATGTTAACCCGTGCTTTGGATATGAATAATAATATTTGAAGAAAGGAATGGCCAGAGTTAATTCTTGGAATATTCTCACAACGACGCAGCGCGGATTTGATTATGAAAGGGAAACTCGTTAATTCTTTCCGGCTGTGTTGACGAGATATATTCAAGCGGGGGGAAATGGCAATATGTTTTGAGTGGGGCGGTAATTTAATGGGCAACAACACTCCAACTTTCAAAGTTGATGGCATTTTCTTAGCGGATTCAAAATTTGCTTATTATGGACTATAATCTCGACTGGTTTGACTTGTGTTCAGCGCTACTTGGCATCTGGTGATTATTTACTCCGAGGCGGCTGAGAGTAAGAGTCGTTTCCGTAGAGCCTACAGTGCAGATCAAGAGATATCTAGAGGCTGTGATTGGATGATATTGTTTTAGATTTTTATGTCTTTTATATACATCCATCCAGTACTTAAAACTGACCATGTTTTTCAATATTTGGTGCTGACTTTTTTAACAAGATGACTTGTGCTGAACGTGACCAGAGATATTTTCAAGGAGGTGACATTTGGTGCGGAACTGTTTTCGGAATGGAGCTCTTTTGTGTTTTTATGACAGCTTTAAGGCCAGACTGTGCATACATGTGCAAGTAATGACTGTTGATTGCCTATTGTTTTGTTATTTTTAAATATAACGTTACAATAGAGTTCTATAGGAAGACATTTGGTTGTGTGTAACCTCAAGGTCGGCGGGAGAGAAGATACCCATGAAGTACTGATGCCCCGACACGAACACGCACCTTGTTGTAGAGGGCGTTCACCAGCTTGGTGTCGTGGCTCCCCCACGCGGTGGACGTCTCTCGCTTATGTTTCACCACCAGCTTCGCGATCTGAACAGAGGAAGTGACGTCAGAACATACACAAAACAGACTTCACAAACATGGAGTTGGGATGGAGATGGTTGGTTGGTTGGATTTTTGTTTAACGCCGCACTCAGCAATATTCCAGCTATATGACGGCGGTCTGTAAAAAATCGAGTCTGGACCAGACAATTCAGTGATTGATATCATAAGCATCGATCCACGAAATTGGGATCGATGACATGCATCAACCAAGTCAGCGAGCCTGACCACCCGATCCCGTTAGTCGCCTCTTACGGCAAGCATAGTTGCCTTTTACGGCAAACATGGGTTGCTGAAGACCTATTCTACCCCGGATCTTCACGGGTCGAGATGGAGATGGTGAGCGGTCCAGTGGTCCAAGACCCGAGTTCGATTCCTCACACGGGTACAGTGTGAGAAGCCCAATCCTGGTGATATTACTAGAATAGTGGTAAAAGCGGCGTAAAACCATACTCACTCACCTACGGTAGACCGAGACAAAACTGAAGCCTTTATTCTAATTGTTTTTTGTCCGGATTACTTTCACAGAAACTTGGCATCGGTGGTCGAAATTAAATAATTTTGTCGTTTAAGTGTTTAAAAAGCAGTGTGTTTTTTAATTACTGAAATTAGTTATTAGACTGTTAAAATGTATTCCAAAAAATATTGTTTTTGTGCGGGCGGATCCGTAAAGAAAGTGATAAAATACTAATTAGGGCCATGCTATTCACCACAGTAAGGGGCCGCATACACCAAGGGGGGCTTCAGGGTAGGTCGTAGGCAAGTACGTGAAATAATACCAGTTGCTTATACGGTCAAACAACAATATTGCTGTGTTTTATAAATCAAATTATTCGGAAAGTAACAGAGTGAGGTTTTGTAACGTCACCAAGCACACACACACACACACACACACACACACACACACACACACACACACTTACATGCACATCGCTATACCAGTGCAATAATCTTGAAAGCGATGAATCCATTTCACCTCACCTCACCTCACCTCACCTCACCTCACCTCACCAGCCTTCCCAATGCAAAAGCGCTACCTGACGATAAGAGTCCAGTTTCCACCCTCGCCGAACTATGCCGGAGTTACATATTGGCTGGACTAACGAGTCTATGCATAGTCCAATCAAAATCGCGTCACGAACATCCGGTTCGCGAAGGGTGGCGCTACTATCAAGGCTGAAAATCCCAGCTGCAAGGACATGGGGCGGTCGGGCTGCCTAGTGGTTTAAGCGTTCGCTCTTCACGCCGAAGACCCGGGTTCGATTCCCGACATGGCTACAATGTGTGAAGCCCTGGTATTGATGGAATATTGCTAAAAGCGGCGTAAAACCATACTCATTCGGCAAGGGCGGAAACTGGACTTCTATGTAAGAAATAAACGACAAGCGGGAGTTGTTTATCGTACAATAAAAAAACTGCAGGGAGAATAAACAACACTTCGTTCTTCATTGTTCTTTGCGATTGATCATAAAGCTATCTTATAGTCAGTTAACGCCCTTGCCTCAGGACCCCACCTCACCTTACAACATGTAACAGAGTGCTGGTGACCTGTTCCACTCTGACCCATATCGACAGGACGAAATTCATGCATAGTGTATTCTTATATTAGGCAAACGCTGATTTAGTATTATTCCTTTTTAAGTACGATTTTGTTTCACTTGCCTTACGCAACGAGCCATCGTTTGTCTGTGGCTGGGATCGCCAATGTCAATGGGTCTTACATACAAAGTCATTAGACGTCGGACGTTGGTAGAATGTTGATGGAACGTCGAAACACGTGCATGACGTTGAGCAACATATCAATGATACGTCCACTTAGTACACGTTAAAATCCATTCACCAAGTGAATTATGACTTTTTCTCAAAACAGACTGGGTACGGGGGTGGTTTTACTTTATTTTACTTCTTTAGTTGGTAAAAAGTCTAAAGTTGTCTTGACTTATTTTGGCAACACCGCCTTAGCTCGGGAGGTGTGTGTGTGTGTGTGTGTGTGGGGGGGGGGGGGGGGGGGGGGGTGGACAAAGTAGGAATCAGGTTCAAAAACGACATTTAAAATGAAAAGCCGTTCTTAACAGGGCATATAAACTAAAAACATGTTCTCGGTCGAGGCAACTTTTAGAGCGGGGTCATGATCAACAAGAATTCTGAACGTGTCTGCACATGTTGCAACTCACCCCGTCAATCAACGCGTGGTCCACACCCTCACATTTGACGTCAATAAAGACGGCGGATTTAGGAAACCTCTCAAATATTTCCCGAAGAGTTGGAATCGGTTCTGGCTTTCCTCGTGATGCGAATCCTGTCATAGACATTGTACCGTAAATCATGCTAGATATGTTTTATCAAATATAAAAAAACCTTCATATATTACAAGACACAGTAGTTTCAGTGGGTATTTTAAGTACAACTCGTGGGTATATGTTTACCCTTCTTCATGGCAGGATAGGGGCGGTCTAGTAGCCTTGTGGTTAAAGCGTTCGCTCGTCACGCCGAAGACCCGGGTTCGATTCCCGACATGGGTACAATGTATGAAGCCCATTTCTGGTGTCCCCCGCCGTGATATTGCTTGAATATTGCTAAAAGCGGCGTAAAACCAAAGTAACTCACTCACTCACTCACTCATGGCAGGATTCCGTAGAACACCTGGACGCGTACACGTAATGCTAAACATCGGAAAGGCACTCTGGGGCGATCCTATGGCCTCACCTTTCTGATACCGCAGGAAGAATGGCGGCCTCAGGCATGGCAGGACCTGTCACCAAAAAAAACATAACCTTAAGATCATAAACTTAAGATCCAAAGACTTAAGATGCACAAAAATGACATTTTTGCTACATGTTTTTCTTTCATACTTTAAAATTTTAAAAAATATCTGTTTTTGAAACTGTAGCTGAAACAATATACCCCGACCCCCCCTCAGAATATCAAATAGTCGTTGCCTACAGGTAAGACCATTTTGATTTCATTTTTGTGCGAACTTGCCGATCGACGTACACCCTAATTCACATGCACCAAAGGTTACAAATAATTATGATTGGTTGAATACCTATCTCAAAAGAAACCGAAGTTGTTCCCCTTTAAAAGTGCTCGGTCGGAGGAGAGGGTTTGGAGTTTAAGGTTTCATCGAGTGTGAGGCTGATATTCAATCGGCACATACCAACTGTTTAAACGACGGTCGTCACTCAGGATTCTACACAGCAACCAATGCTTGCCGTAACAGGCGACTATGCTTGTCGTAAGAGTCGACTCACTTAGTTCATGCGTGTCACCGTATCCCATTTGCTTGGAGCGATGCTCATGATCCACGCAATTGCGTGGAGTCTGGTCAAGACTCGATCATTTACAGACAGCCGTCATATAGCCGGAATATTGCTGAGTGCGGCGTTAAACAACAAACAAACAAACACTATATCTGTTTCACATTCACTTTTCTTTACTTCATAAAATAAACAGTAGAGTGTCCTGACTGATTGAAACTTGTTAAATCAGTTTGGGATCCGGCAATCCTTTCACTACGTAAGAATATCTTCATTTTTTCAAAATAAATATAATTTTTTTGTTCTGAATCTAGTCGTTTCCAAATGAAATTACTGGTGGTCAAACACTCAATAACACGCAATTTTAACTAACTCCCAAGCGAAATTTCGACATCCCAGAAACTCCATCATCTGGAGGATCATGTCTGTAAATATTTAAACCCACAATGCTACGCGCCAATAATTTTCGTTATTCTGTTTCCATACGGTAGTATCGCCATGATAAACGAGATTTCACTTCAAAAATGTAACCTAAATCATGTTCGGAAATAATGCTTTATCTTTCTGTTTAAATAAATAACATTTTTTCGTTTATGAAGATTCACAATGAAGGTAAATATAACAATGGTGTATTTGCTACTTTGACATGCGAACCTACCCTATATAACGAGTCAGTTACTTTCCACGGCGTGCCACAACACCGCTTCAAAGTCTCGTCTGGAAAGACGATAATCTCGCCATCTCTCGTTCTTCTGACAGTGAGGAAGAAGTCTGCTCCGATCGAGGAAGAACTGTCACAGGTTACAGTTACATGTTTAAATGTGTTCAAGCACCACCCTACACTCTGAGACGACGCATACTAGTTTAATGTGAAGAGCGGAACAGTAGCCTAGCGGTTAATGCGTTCGCTCGTCACAACCAAGTCACGGGTTTGATCCCAAGCTGTGTACAATGTGTGTTTACAAACCATGCGCAGCGTCCCGGCAGTGGTGTCGATGTTAAACACAACGCTCACTGTAGGAGGAACAGTCCATGACCTATATCTGTCGTGTCAGCATGTTAACACATAAACCAAGGTAGGTGCATATATACCGCTCAAAGAAGTTAAAGAACGCCCGATTTTTAATATGACAGTTATGATGCCATGGCTGGGGGTATTGCAACACACAGTTTTCCAATTAGGTGTTGTTTAACTTGTTGTGAGTAGTACACATCCACGGTCTTCTGGAGTTTCACACAAATCAGCGGTGTAAGCACCCCTGTTAACAAATGGACTGGCTGGGTATATAAGGTGGGTTTAACGTCGCTTTAAAGAGTATTGCATTTATATAGCGACGTGTGTGTGGCTGCTTGTACTTGTCCAGATTCATGCTGGTGTTACAGTGCCAGCCCACTGAGATACCATGCCGCAGTGTAACATCAATACCCTACAAAGACACAGTATACTGACGCCTTGTTTTTGCCCCTTAATAACGAGCACCAGGAATGGTAACAAAAAGTACCAACTTTTTACGTTTTTTTGGTATGACGAGATCAGGGGATCGAACCACCGACCTTCCACACTCCGGTAGGAGCTCTATCCGCTAGACCACGGGGTAACCCCTTAATCCGGGCATTAGCGTCTCCGGTAAAATCGCTTACTTCCGGTTGACGAATCATGTTTACAGTGTTTCGGCGACTGTTTGCAGCCAAGTTACGTTTTATTTCGTTTGTACTTTTTTTTTGGTCAAATCTAATTTCCATAGGAGTGTATACATTCTGTCGCCCAGCTGTTTATAATGTACTTACTGTTTGAAAGCAGAGAGGGACCCCTCTAGAGCCTCGCCGCCTCCTGGAGAGAAACAGCAGGTCAGACTCGGTTATCCAGTGTGAGCATGAATGTGTGAACAGTATGTCAGTTCAAGTACGGCATGATTGCTTAGTTCGGACGTTAACCAGGCCAACCACACGACAACGGGTATGGTGCGGCCGGTGAACCATGGAGCATAGCGGGCTGAATCTGAGGTTCGAACTCACGACCAGCAGACCGGGTGGTGAGCTGAGAGTGAGTTGGGTTTAACGCCGCTTTTAATAGTATTACAGTTATATCACGGCGTGTCAGCTCAATGTAGGAGGAAAGCCCGAAGTGATGAAGGTCTCAGACGTTTACCACTTCCGTGAAACCGACGAGCACAGGTATGGTGCTGACAAACCTAGAAACATAATCGGGGCGTACTGGGATTCGAACCCACAATTGTAGGTTTCTGGCGTACCCAAGGGACGCAACTCTGCTTGGCGAATCGCGGCGCCTTAGACGACTAGCCCACCCGTGCTCCCGTTGAGCTAAGAGACCACATGGCCACTTACATAAGTTGGGTTTGGGGTTGTTGTTTTTCTGTTGGTAATAAGTAGATACACACAATAACAATCAACATTGATATGTAAACTCGCCAACACATCTTAAGAGATAAATATTTATATTTGGTGGTGATATTTATGCCACATAAGTTAAATGTAAGTTTTGTTTAATGTACTCCATCATGTTTGTGTTGGAATATACTGATGGCTATAAGTAGGGAGCAGTGCTGGATATTTTCTTCCAATGTTCGGTTATTTCCGGAATACAGCGGCTGTTCATTTACTTCATTTAACAGAATACATGTCAGAAAATCTATTGCAGGCGTATTCACAGAGTATTCATTGATTATTCACAGAATATTCACAAAGTCTTCACATAGTATTCATTGAGTATTCACAGAATATTCACATAGTATTCACAGAGTATTCATAGAGTATTCACAGAGTATTCACAGAATATTAACAGAGTATTCACGGAGTATTCACAGAATATTCACGGAGTAGTCACAGAATATTCACAAAGTATTCACATAGTATTCATTGAGTATTCACAGAATATTCACATAGTATTCACAGAGTATTCATAGAGTATTCACAGAGTATTCACAGAATATTAACAGAGTATTCACGGAGTATTCACAGAATATTCACGGAGTAGTCACAGAATATTCACGGAGTATTCACGGAGTATTCACAGAATATTAACAGAGTATTCACGGAGTATTCACAGAATATTCACGGAGTATTCACAGAATATTCACGGAGTAGTCACAGAATATTCACGGAGTATTCACAGAATATTCACGGAGAAGTCACAGAATATTCACGGAGTATTCACAGAATATTCACGGAGAAGTCACAGAATATTCACGGAGTATTCACAGAGTATTCACAGAATATTCACGGAGAAGTCACAGAATATTCACGGAGTATTCACAGAGTATTCACAGAATATTCACGGAGAAGTCACAGAATATTCACAGAGTATTCATAGAGTATTCACAGAGTATTCACAACACACACACACGGCTGGACAGGGTAATCTACCATGGCTATGCCAGTCACGTGGGGAAGCAGCTACATGAAACACATACTAGTATACATCTAGGTATCACTTCAGCGGAGAGCACGCCCGGATATTCTAGGTATATGGCTAATAATGTTCGACATCAACTGGCATCAAAACCAGTGAAAACTGTTTAAAATGTGGTAAAACTCATCTTGCCAGCAATGTCATCGACGGTTCAGAAGTGTTTTTCAATATATTCGATTAGTTAATTACAAAGTTTAACACCGTTGTATCCAATGTATATCTGCTGCAGTATTGCAGGAGAACTATATCGGTGAAATGAGCAATATATTCATTTCTATGTTATTCATACCGAACTCTTCAAACTTGATAGTAGACTAAAAATACCTGTACATAATTTAATAATTTCGTAATTGTTCAGGATCATGTGAAATGTCTTTTGATATAAGCAATATGTAGATTTACTAGATTTGAGTTAGAATAGAGTTATCGATCAATCTCAGAACAAGTGACAAGAAATTATGTGTGTGTGTGCGTGCGTGCGTGCGTGCGCGTGCGTGTGTGTGCGTGTGTGTATGTGTACCAACCATCTTTTCCATTGTCCGATATCCAAATGGCTAGTTCTTGCCTTCAAAATAAAAAATACTTCCAATCGCGAAATAGTATACTTTACAGTGATATTTGAGAAAGACACAATTGCCGAGAACCAGAAAGGCCCTGGCTATCATTTGATGGCTGCAGGAGGAAATAGTTTATTAACGTAATTTGCGGACGCTTAAACTAGGACGCGCGTCATCGTGGATACGTTTCTCAAACCCCAGCAACATTTTCCACTTAAATCAAAATGTGTAACACCTTCATTTACCTGCACAAAACAATATCTACCACATAACACATGATGTGTTTACCTAGAGATCAGAGAAAATTCTCATAAATGTGTTGATTAATACTATGGCTTTATGACGATGAAGAAGACGCCGGTTACCTCCCCTGAAACTGCAGACCCTTCCCCGAAACTTTCCCAGCGACTTCCGCTTGTGACAGACGTTGGGGTAGAGGCTGCAGGCGACGGACAACACCACGAAACACAGGAAGAAGAATCCAGTAACAGACACGATGCACACAGTGACCAGAAACACCATATCAGCCGCCATCTTGGATCACGTCATTGTTCACAGCCAAATCTACAGCAATGATTGTGCGGTCTCCTGACGAAGCTTTTGTTCATGTGTTCATTGCTATTCAGCTGATTTGTATTCGGTCAAATATAGTAAGTGTGCAGAGACTGACGAAGCTGGGAGTTGTCCCGAACAACGAGTAGATATGCACGTCACGTGATCACGCGCGTGACAGACGTGATCCGACTTCTGGGAGAGATTGGTGGACATGCTTTATTCCCGCCCGATGTGTACTACCAAACAAGCTCAATTGAGAGAGAGAGCTCTACCACGGTACATAGACGGTTTTACGTTGTAATGACAACATAGAGAGCAAAAGTTAAACATGGATCGGATATCCGAAACCCACACACAGAAAACTGAATCTTTTAACGTCTTTTGGTATTACGTAGCCGGGGATCAATTCTCCGACCTTCCGCTCTCCGGACAGAAAACAAGCGTAAGAACCATCACTGCAAGACAACTGACCCCACAGACCTGTTTCCTCCAGACAGTGAAATACAACAGCAGTGGAAGAAGGTTATCCAATGATCTATGCAGTCGAGCGTAGTTGTCCATTTACAATCAATGTCCTGATAAGGACAGGGCGGGCGATGGGTAGCAGAGTTGTTAAAGCGTTAGATCGTCACGCCGAAGACCCGGGTTCGATTCCCCACATGAGTACCATGTGTGAAGCCCATTTCTGGTGTCGCCGGTCGTGGTATTGCTGGAATATTGCTAAAAGCGGCGTAAAGCCATAATCACTCACTCACTCAGTGATGTGAGTGTCGAGTCGACGTGACCAATTGACGAAGACGTGGAGCACCCAACCGTAGTCCTGTTAAAAGGAAATGGATCCCTACTTGAACGCGGCCAAGTATACATTAGGTGGGTTAGCGTTGCGTTCAAGATTATTGCATGTGTTTGTGTGTGTGTGTGTGCATGTGTGTGTGTGCTCCGCAGTAATCTCACTCATACACATTTATAAGCATTAACATTACAGACGGAAAACCAATAAAAGAAATAGCGACCTTATTTATATGAGTTAAACCCACAAGTTAGTAAATAGAGACCTTATATTTTTAGTTGAACCCACACGTCGGAAAACAGCGACAATATTAGTTGAGTTGAACTCACACGTAAGAAAATAGCGACTATATTATCAGTAAATAGTGAGTGAGTATGGTTTTACGCCGCCTTAAGCAATATTCCAGCAATATCACGGCGGGGGACACCAGAAATGGGCTTCACACATTGCACCCATGTCGGGAATCGAACCCGGGTCTTCGGCGTGACGAGCGAACGCTTTAACCACTAGGCTACCCGACCGCCCCTCAGAAAATAGAGATCTTATTATTTCCCGTCAGAAATCTGTCACGTCCGCGTTGTTAACATTTACGTCACTGGGATATCATGGTACATCTGGACACTGTCGACTGACACGATGTCCGAGTACAGTCAATGCAGATGTCATAGTGGAGAGGAAGCAGTTTCGTAGATGGAGAACGAGGTCTTGAATGGGCGTGGTCACACCTGTCTTCCTAATCCTCGTCCTGTCAGTTGTTTGCCGACAACGTTCCATCAGCCTGTTTGTGTCAGCCCCGTTTGGGGCACGGGTGGCCAAGTCGTCTAAGGCGCCGCAATCGCTGTGCAGAGTTGCGTCCCTTGGCTATGCCAGAAACCTATGATTATGGGTTCGAATCCCGGTTCTCCCCGATTATGTTTCTAGGTTTGTCAGCACCATAACCGTGATCATGGGTTTTACCATAGTGGTAAACGTCGAAGACCTGCATCACTTCAGGCTTTTCCCCCACAATAAGCTGACACCCCGTGGTATAACTTGAATATTAAAAGGGACCCAACTCACTCACTATGGCAGCCCCAACCACTGTTGCAATGTGGTCATGTGCAACTCCATGCTGAGCCATACCAATCTCTCATGCTCTGTTGCTGACATCGCTCGTCACGCTGGAGACCCGGGTTCGATTCCCCATATGAGTACATTGTATGCAGCCCATTTCTGGTGTTCCCCACTGTGATATTGCTGAAATAAACGGTGTAAAACCTCACTCACTCACTGTGGTGCTGATAAACCGAGGCATTTTGTCTGTGTTTTTAGTTGTTACTCTCACCGGGGTGTCAGCTGATTTCTATACCAGTTTAGCTGGTGCATTTCGTTCTACGTGTTTTGTTTTGTTTTGTTTTTGTATCATTCACACTTCCACTGGCTTTTAGTTATCAGATACATTTGGTTGTATTTGAGCGACATATTTAGGCAACATTTCATATCAGTTGGAATTGAAGACAATTATTCCTGGGATAGTTTCTTTTGGAGGTCAGCATACACATGATGTGAAGCAGTGTCCATTTAGAATAGACATTATACATTCCTACATTGCACATTCATAAATATAACATCGACGCCTCCATGATCTAGTGGTAGGGCCTCCGCCTGGAGAACCAAAGGTTTGGGGTTCGATCCCCGGCCGCATCACACCAAAAGACGTTAAAAGATGGTACTTAATGTTACCCTGTCTGGCGCTCGGCATTAAGGGGCTAAAACAAGGACTGGTTGGCTTGGAGTCAGTATACTGTGTCTGAGTGGGGTATTCATGTTAAACTAGGGCATGGTATCTCAGTGAGCTAGCACTGTAAATCAGCATCAGTCTGAACTAATACAAGCTGACACACACACACACACACACACACACACGCACACACACACGTGTGCATACACGTCGCTATATAAGTGCAATAATCTTTGACGTGACGTTAGACCCAATTTCACCTCACCATCTAGAATATCATACCATGTTCCTTCACCGGTCTTCAATCAAGTATTGGCGGTATCTTAGACATTTATTAAAATGAGATCAACCTCAGATACTGTGGTGCCAATAGACATAATCAGGGCGAGTCATAGTTGTAAGAAACATTAATGTTATAAACAGAATTTCAGTGATAACATGGTGTGACAGTTTATAATAGAGCAGAAAGCCCAAAATACTGCTTTGGTCAAAAGTCTTCAGAACGGGTAACATGTTGACAGTTCAAGGACAATAATTTTAGGGACTGTGGTATTTGAACCCTCTAACAAGCCGACCCTTGCCTTGCTTCTGAGTGCAGCTCTGCACAACGGAACACTGGTCAAAGTGTGGCCCTTTAGTTATTCAGATTTGGATCTGTGAAGATCAGGGTAGAATAGGTCTTGTCGTAAATGGCGACTATGCTTGTCGTAAGAGGCGACTAATGGGATCGGGTGGTCAGGCTCGCTGACTTGGTTGTTGCATGTCATCGTATCCCAATTGCGTGGATCAAAACTCATGATGTCAACCACTGGATTGTCTGGTCCAGACTCAATTATTTACAGACCACCATCATATAGCTGGAATATTGCTGAGTGCAGCGTTAAACAACAAACATCATCACCTTGCTTATATTTCTTTGTTATAGCACACTGGGCGTCATGGTACCTGACACACGGTCAACCAAGTCATCCAGCCGGACCATCCGATCCACTAAGTCGCCTGTGACAACAAGGGTAGGTGTCTGTGGACCAGTTCGAAGCCAGATTCCTGACAGGGTGTCAGCAGATGGAGAGGAAGAGAAGCAAGTGTTCAGTAGTGATGTTAATGTAGCTAAAGATAAAGGACAAATGACAACACACAACACAATCAAGGTAGAAACGTTTACAAATACAAGTAATCACATCTGAATCTTAAAGCAAGAAGTCACAAGTTGAGTTATACAACAAAGGTTATATTCCAATACAAATACATGGATGTAATATTGAGCACAAACTGATGAAACATTGTGGTGTAGTGAAACCCTGTTAATCCAGACTGTGGTGTTTCCATTGACAACATCAAGACTTTCAAACATCTGGATAACTGAATCAGACCCATAAGTGAGTATGGTTTAACACTGCTTTGAACAGCACAACATTGCACTAGTGATGACCCTTAAAATAAGTATAAACATTCCAAACTGTAAACATCCAGTTCTCAGACTAACAGGATTTCAATGTAACCAATATTGTCAATGATATGGAATTACAGATTCAAAATTCCTATTTCAGCTTACATTTTCAAAATTGAGACTTTGCGTCTTTGATCCTATGTTCAGTGAGTGAGTGAGTGAGTTGGGTTTAATGCCAGTTTGAACAGTACTTAGGGATGTCCCAGTAGGTTAACGAACTTAGGGAGAAAGTCCAAACTGGTGTGGGAAGTAGACATAGACTGGTGCTGACGAACCAAGAATCACAGGGTTTGGGATTCAAACTTTGGACCAAGGCATCCAGATAGACGGCATCACCAACAAGACCGTCACACACACATTGATAGGGATATAGAGGGGCATCACCTCAATGTTCAATACATTGGAACCTCCTTGAGAAGGTCAGAACTATACACAAACACAAAATTAACTGTGATTTATTTTGAACGATAATGTGATTTTGTCATACTTGAACAATTCAAAACCCTTCTTATGTTCTTTGAAGATCTAAGTGTACTATTTCTCAGTTGGGCTGAACATAACCACCGTTGTGTTTCTGAGGTTACTTTTTTTTAAAAACTAAAATTTCATGAATTAATATTTTCGAATTTTGACGAACAATTTCTTACACAAAATGTAAAATGTCTGATTTTTTTTATTTCCAGTACGAGATATACATCAGTTTGAAAGAGAGGGTACATTTTAGATATCACTTTCATCATCAGCCCAAAACTCACTACAGTGACCCTGGTGCATCCTGACAAGTGCTTTTGAACACAGAATCTACAAAGCCACATACAATCATTGATGAATAATAACTTTCAGTGTCAGATAATATTATCACAGATAATTGTGTGTTTGAGTACAGTGTATTTACATAAATATTTGCAGTTTTACGTGGAATGTTGTTAAGGCAGAAAGGCCTGCTCATCGTAAGTCTTACACTTAAACCAACAGAACAATTTCAGTACAAAACAAATCTTATAAATAACAGTCAATGCAGCCACACATAATAAATACACTAACAACATGACGGCTAAAAACACAATAATCACATCAAAACTTCCATCATGATAAAATAATACGCTTTACGCCACAACGTAGTCCATTTCTCAACAATTGTCGCCTCCATTGCCCATAATGCTGGAGAATACTCAGTGTTAAAGCAAGAACCTGTCTTGCCCGTTTCCTTGACAACTGGTAATATCAATATAAAAATAGGTCAGATTCTTCATTAGTCTGCAATAATTATTCTAACTGGTGTCTTATGTTGTGGTGAGCCTTTCCAGAACACGTTACAAAAACAGGGCGCCCTGTGGACAGACTGATTGTCCAATATGAAACACAGATAGTTCTCATTCGTCACCACTCGCCCCTTTCCGCAACCTGCAAGAAGACTTGTCCCCCTATCGATGAATGTTATGTGCGAAAATATGACAAACCAATCAGAATGCACGAATGACTTCAAGTATTTTGGTCAAGAATCCCTCAGGAATAAAGATTTTACATGTCTTGAATCTGAAAATATACACTTAAATGTGTTCAATCATACTGTATAGATACTGTAATTCCCGATGTTTTTTAAATAACACCTGAAATATATATGACATGGGGGACATATACGTGAATCAGGACGCACCGAGTTGACAATTCTTTTAACTATGTCCATTTGCGCTTAGACAGATCCCTTAGTCGCAAAAATGGCCACGGAAAGGGCACGAGTCACTATTCGGCTTGTCCCAGAATAACACGAGTTAGTCACAAATGAGATAGTTCTGAAAGAATACATCACCAGCATGAGTGAGAGAACATTGCTTTCTGCCACATCAGCAACTTTGCTGCTTCTTGCAACAATAGTGTAAGTGTGTATTGTTTTACGACGCTTGTCACAACTCTAGCAATATCAGGCGGGAGACATCAGACATGGCTTCACACATTGCACACATGTGGAGAAATGAACCCGACCTTCACCATAACAAGCAGCCACTCTTACCCTAAGACCACCCCTCAGCCAGCAGTGAGACAGATATTTGCTCAGATGTTTCCCCATCTTACACGATACAAATATAAAACATGGGTAACACTGCTGAAAACGCTACACCACACTTTGATAGGGACATTGACTTCTCATGCTATCTAAACATACATGTGAAAATAATCAGCTGGGTGAAACACGCAATCATAGGAATATGCCTATCAAAAGTTGAGTAGCATATTGGTAGTATGAACTGTGATATAGTTCTTCAAACAGCAATACAAAAACACACATACTTTGTTCTTAATCATCACTGCTTTGCAGACCATTGTGATGCCATTGGATACCATGACGTCACAATCAGATAACATCACTTATAGCTCTGCTACTGAAGCTGATCTCTGGTTCCAGCAGGACCCATTGACTCACAGAAGAAGTAAGACAAATGGCCCCGAGATCATTATGGTGTTGAGCTGCCATACCTATGATCTAGAGTGAGTGAGTTGGGTTTAACGCCGCTTTTAACAGTATTCCAGTTATATCACGGCGTGTCAGCTTAATGTGGGAGGAAAGCCCGAGGTGATGCAGGTCTGAGACGTTTACCATTTCGGTGAAACCCACGAGCACGGGTATGATGCTGACAAACCTAGAAACATAATCGGGGCAAACTGGGATTTGAACCCACAATCACAGGTTTCTGGCGTGCCCAAGGGACGCAACTCTGCACAGCGAATCGCGGTGCCTTAGACGACTGGGCCACCCGTCCCCCCCCCCTTATGATCTAGAAGGAAACTCCACACGAAGCAATGTTCCAAGCACAAGACGGCCATTTGTGTATACACTCCAGTGATTGACATCATGAGCATCCATCCACTCAACTGGGACACTATGTCCAAGTCACCGACCCTGACCATTCTTTTACAACAAGCGCGGGTTCCTGGAGAACTATATTCTTACCCAGAATCCCTATGGGGACACAAGAGATTAACATCTCATTGAGCAAGTTATTTTATTGACATAAAGCATTTTCTTCCATGGTGTAACACTATAAGCACTCCATTACCATCCTCATCAATGATGGAAAATATCTTATCATAAGTTATTGGAAAATAACATAATTTATATCATTTCAACACCCACAAGAAATGATCCTTCTAGCATGTCTAGAGATCAAGTAATGTCCCTTCTTTGTCCTAAAGAAATATACAGCTTAAGTGAGTGAGTGAGTGAGTATGGGTTTACACCGCCTTTAGCAATATTCCAGCAATATCCCAGTGGGGACAAGACAGTATAAGCCCACACCTACAGTTCATAGTGAGTGAGTGACTGAGTGAGTTTGATTTTACGCCGCTTTTAGCAATATTCCAGCAATATCACGGCGGGGGACACCAGAAATGGGCTTCACACATTGTACCCATGTCGGGAATCGAACCCGGGTCTTCGGCATGACGAACGAACGCTTTAACCACTAGGCTACCCGACCGCCCCTACAGTTCATAAGGCATTCATGAAAAGAGGTACTGGTATTAATACTTTGTTGACCTTATTAAAAAACAAATCAGGTGCCATAAATTAATATTGTAAGAGGACACATACCCTACTGAGAGCATGAGTGCCCTGTGAATTGCCTTGACATTGATATGAATCATTTGTCATCCCTTAAAACAAAGTTTTGAAAAACATAATTTTCTACAAATTCCAATCAGTTGCTAATGGTTTATGGTTATGAATGACTAGTAGTCCAATCACATGAACATAATAAATACATGTATATAGAAATACAGAACAAAGACTTTAAGTAACATGCGTGATAAGCATGAACACTGAAATATGAAAGACAACCAGCTTTTTTCCCCAGTGTTTTTCCTTCTGGTGCCTGGTGGAATCTGATTCGTGGGATAATAGAGACTGATTATTTTCTGCCGTTCAGAGTTTTATTCCTAAACATCTTTCAGCAAAAACATGAATACAGAAATTAATTTTACAAAGAAAAGTTATTATTAAACATGAATATTTACAAAGGACATCTTCAAAAAGTATAATAATGTTCTGAGTTGTAGATGGCATTTCAGGTTTTGTTGTCGGCCAAACATTGATGTCTAAGTACATTTGGTGTTCCAGTGCCTTGGGTGTCACAGTACATTGACACACCAGAGTGTGTGTCATCTTGAAGTCATGGAACCATCCACCATGTTCACGGTCACGTCAAGCACATCACAGACTCCGCCACCAACTCATGCCGTACACTCAAGCAAACGCCAGGCTCTCAGATCAACAGGAAGTGTGTCACGGAGCATATGTGTATTAGAATGAGATTCTACCAAATTTGATTGATACATATTTCTATTACGGCACAAGACATTTTCAGTTTAATCTTGATGACTAATAAGTACATCATTATCAATATTATATCACAATGCATCGGTGACGTCAATATAGACTGCATCATTGCTGTTCATGTACAACTGATGATGAGATGCATCACTGACGTCAACATAGACTGCATCATTGCTGTGCATGTACAACTGATGATGAGATGCATCACGGATGCCAAGACGGTGGGCAGCATGAATGACAACAAGATATGCATCATTGATATGTTTTGTAGCCTGCTTGCTAAACTGATGAAAAACAATTGTTAAACATTACAAAAAAAAGAAAATAATGACAGCAAGCCAGCCTCTTTGCACATAGAACAGAATTGTGACTTCCATTTGAACCCAAGGTCTTGCATTTCTGTCCTAACATGGAACATGATTGCAGTCAAGTAAACCTTCAGTATCCGGGAACGTTGGATTCCCCAACTTTGATCGATACTACACCAATATCTCCTTGGTGGACAACACAGCTGGCTTCACACATTATAACCCATAGGGAACCAAACCTTGACATTATGAGCCAACGCTTTATCATCCAAACTGGCTCCCACAAGAGATATCGCTTGGGTGAGATCAAGCGATATCTACATTGTAGATATCGCTGCAATGATATTGCATCTCAATGCTTTGCAGACCATTGTGACATCATCGGTTACCATGACGTCATAATCAAATGACATCACTTATGGCTCTGCTACTGAAGCTGTTAGCAGTACTTTTTACATTAAGACACTGCTTATAACTGTCTACAAACTGAAACAGTTGGAAGAATGATGTTGGATGCTAAATAAAATCTCACCCTTGCCTCTTTTGATATCAAATATATCAACACTCAGCTACTTGGCTACTCGGCTACTCCATAAGGATAAACATGAACAAAATACCGGAAGAGAATCTCAATTCAGATAATGCCTAACAGTCTGCGACTAGTCTGATGCAAGAGCCAAGTCAAATATATTTTGGTCTTGTCAGCTCAGCTAAATATAAAACTGTAAAGTCTGAAATTCTAGTGAGAAAATCTTAAAATGATAAGTTTGGACTTTTAGACAAAAATGATTGGGCACAGACTGTCATGAATGTCACTTAGTTTGACAATGGACGAAACTGTGATCTGTGAAGTGTCACACAAGGATCATAATGGAGATATAGTTTGAGGGAGAAGAATAGATAGTTGATGTAAGAAATGCTATCTGGTAAGAAAATGATATATGAAACATTGCCTGACATTATATACTTGCTTAATTTCTCCCTCTCTCATTACCAAGACTCCCTCACTACCATAACATTGTGAGGACAAAAGTTGATGTATCATTCATCGCGACCTTACTGGGCCACCTACCTCACAACGAAGATGAAGACAGTGTCGAAATGCCACTTACAGATACATGGGAGATACACAGTCCATCACCACACTGTCTACTAACATTACTGCTCCAACAATCACATACAATGATCAATGAGTACCCTGACAATATCACACAAAAAATATAGTATTTTTAAGCCACTATCATTACAATCACAATGGCCAGTGACCAGCCGCTGGATTTGAAGATCCAAAAGGATTCTTCAAAAGGACAAACTTCATTGACATATTCAAAGCAAAAATATATAACTATACATACAGAAAATACAGGTTGCCCAAACAACTACAATGACGCTTCTATTGTCACAATAGCTGGAGATACAATCAGTTCGAGAGGATGTCAATGTTTTCTTGCTTTCACAGATGATAAGTCCAATACAAAACATGCAAGAGGGTAAACATAAACATGTTTTAAAAAAATACAAAGTCAAAGTTCATTTGGGGCAGATTTCCTTTAAAAAATAATGATCTTGAAATAAAAGTGAAACCAAAATACAAACAAAAACATAGTTTCAATCAAAGACATTTCCGTATACTTAGTTTTATATATGAAGTTTCTTTGTTTTGCTTCTGCAGACTTTTACATAAGCTTGATTTATGTAGAAAGAAAAAACAAGTGGTCTAGCCTTGATGCCCTTTCTGTCAAGAAGAAAACAAAGCCTTTCACCATGGTAACTGATCAGCCAATGAATAGTCCAATGGCTATGGCAACAGCTAATTTGACCATTAGTGGCATAACATTCAACATCCTGTCCACTCAGCCAATATAAAAGCTTGTAGCCATGGTTACTGATTATTCAGCCAATGAGGAAAGTCAAACAACAAATTAACTTAAAGCAGATTAATCCTTAGTTTCAGTATTTAAGCATGCATTTGTAAGGGTTTTTAAAAAAAGACAAAATATGACCTAAAACCACGAGCACAAGAAATGTTTCTTAAACATGGAATAGACATTACTTGTTCCTTAAAAATATGTTTGTGGTTGACATCAAATAAAAAAAACAGCAAAGCAGTTTTCTCACAAAATAATGAAAATATATGAAACATACAACTCATGCCACGCTGAGCAAGTCAAAGAGTTACCTCCCTTATAATAGAATCCATTTTCGAATTCTTGTACTCTTCCTTTTTAAACATGTTTTAAAAATGTTTACTTGGACTCCAAATTATGAACTATTGATCGGTGGTACTGTAAACAAAGTAAGAGAAAGACACGGTCATATTTCCAAGAAAGCACACTGACTGTACGTCGCTGACGATGGTATTGTCTGGTTTCAAGGAGGAAGAGCCAAAGACAGTTTATTTCCGGTACTGCGGGTTGGTATCGAGGAATTCGGTCAACTTTGTAGGGAAGTCGGTCATCACGCCATGCACTCCCAGTTTAAACGCTCGCTCAAACTCGTCCTCTGTGTTCAGTACCCACAGATATGTCTGAAACAAAATAGGGGGTTATTAGTTTGTATTCAATGCCTCTCTTTGCAATATTCTAGCTATGTGACGACAGCCAGAACATAATCAAATCTTGGCTAGACAATCCAGTGATTGATATTATGAGCAACAATCAACAATGTCAAAGTATGATGACAACCAAGACATCGACCGGACAACTCAAAACATTATATGCCAAGCCTTGACGGCTGGGACCAACTCTAACTTGGAAAATCCACAAGATCATTCAGGAAGGTGGATGAGACCACTGCTGTTTAAACGTCTGATACCTGGTCTCTCCAGATGTTTGGACAGCAGTGGTCTCAATAATCCTCCTACCTGAATACCCTGTCTTTCCAGGTGTTAAACAGCAGTGGTCTCAATCATCCACCTACCTGAATACCCTGTCTCTCCAGGTGTTAAACAGCAGTGGTCTCAATCGTCCACCTACCTGAATACCCTGTCTCTCCAGGTGTTAAACAGCAGTGGTCTCAATAATCCACCTACCTGAATACCCCGTTTCTCCAGGTGTTAAACAGCAGTGGTCTCAATCATCCACCTACCTGAATACCCCGTCTCTCCAGATGTTTAAACAACAGTGGTCTCAATCGTCCACCTACCTGAATACCCCGTCTCTCCAGATGTTTAAACAACAGTGGTCTCAATCGTCCACCTACCTGAATACCCCGTCTCTCCAGGTGTTAAACAGCAGTGGTCTCAATCATCCACCTACCTGAATACCCCGTTTCTCCAGGTGTTAAACAGCAGTGGTCTCAATCATCCACCTACCTGAATACCCCGTCTCTCCAGGTGTTAAACAGCAGTGGTCTCAATCATCCACCTACCTGAATAACCCGTTTCTCCAGGTGTTAAAACAGCAGTGGTCTCAATCATCCACCTACCTGAATACCCCATCTCTCCAGGTGTTTAACAGCAGTGGTCTCAATCATCCACCTACCTGAATACCCCGTCTCTCCAGGTGTTAAACAGCAGTGGTCTCAATCATCCACCTACCTGAATACCCCGTTTTTCCAGGTGTTTAACAGCAGTGGTCTCAATCATCCACCTACCTGAATACCCAGTCACTCCAGGTGTAAAACAGCAGTGGTCTCAATCGTCCACCTACCTGAATACCCAGTCACTCCAGGTGTTAAACAGCAGTGGTCTCAATCATCCACCTACCTGAATACCCCGTTTCTCCAGGTGTTTAACAGCAGTGGTCTCAATCATCCACCTACCTGAATACCCCGTCTCTCCAGGTGTTAAACAGCAGTGGTCTCAATCGTCCACCTACCTGAATACCCCATCTCTCCAGGTGTTTAAACAGCAGTGGTTTTAATAATCCACCTGAATACCCCGTCTCTCCAGGTGTTAAACAGCAGTGGTCTCAATCGTCCACCTACCTGAATACCCCGTCTCTCCAGGTGTTTAACAGCAGTGGTCTCAATCATCCACCTACCTGAATACCCCGTCTCTCCAGGTGTTTAAACAGCAGTGGTCTCAATCATCCACCTACCTGAATACCCCGTCTCTCCAGGTGTTTAAACAGCAGTGGTCTCATCATCAGCCTAAAACACACACAGCATCTCTTTTATGTTGCATTCTTTCAGTTTGCATTTGTCTCCATTGTTGAGAAATTGTGTTGATTTGTGAAATATCGCTTTTGCCAAAGCTCAAAATTACAAAATAACAAAAGGAGGCTTGAGGCCACAGAGTAGAACATTGTACCTTGACAGCTAACACTAACTGTAGCCGACATCACATGGTCTCATAACCAGTCTGGTTTTATGTCACTGTCAACAGTATTTCAGCCAGTTGCAGAACCTCTGACACCTGGGCTCTCCCCTCCCCTCCCCGAAATGTAACTACATGATGAACTTAATGAAAATGGTTTACAAAATGTCCAAGGAAACATGGTACAACAAGCTTTCCCAGTCTTGTACCAAAAGATGCAACAGCACAGCAACGGAAATACTTCTTGTCTTGGTCACTTTGTAGCTTAGACATACTCACGCATCAACAATTCGGATGGCGAACCTCTGTTTTTTGGAGAGTTTCATGGGGCTCTTGCCTTCACTGTGAACATAAACAACCCTTCAACACAAGCATTCGTATCCACCTATATGGGGACTCGGACCACAACAGACAAACTAGTGACAAACTAGTGACTAATATTATGAACAACACTCAACACTGTCAGAGCATGATGACCAAGTGACAAGCCTGACCACCTCATCCAATCCAGTGGCCTTTTACAACAAACAAGTGCTGGACCTCATCCAATCAAGTTGCCTCTTACAAGAAGCATGTCGCCTCTTACAACAAGCAACAGAGTGCAGGGCCCGACCACCTCATCCAATCAAGTTGCCTCTTACAACAAGCAATAGAGTGCAGGGCCTGACTACCTCATCCAATCATGTCGCCTCTTACAACAAGTAATAGAGTGCAGGGCCTGACCACCTCATCCAATCAAGTCGCCTCTTACAACAAGTAATAGAGTGCAGGGCCTGACCACCTCATCCAATCATGTCGCCTCTTACAACAAGCAATAGAGTGCAGGGCCTGACCACCTCATCCAATCAAGTTGCCTCTTACAACAAGCAATAGAGTGCAGGGCCTGACCACCTCATCCAATCAAGGGACCTATTCTACCCAGGTACATAGAGCCAAAAAGTGGGGTTCGATTCCCCACATGGGTAAAATGTGTGAAGCCCATTTCTGGTATCCTCTGGCATAAGGCTAAAAGCTGTGTAAAACCATACTCATTCAATTAAGAAAAAAAGGGACAGAACTCACTTCATTACTTGAATAAAATCTCACCATTACACCTCATTGCAATGGTAAGTATTCACAGGTGATTGAGGGACATAGTACAGTGAACCCTTGCTGCAACACTACCTTGGGGGTCCAAATAATTGATGAGTGTTATAGATGATCAGCAGTTTACCCGAGGTGGAGTCATAGGGGGTAGATGAGCAACACAACACTACATGCTTACTCTGCCTACCTAACATGATCTACACTGCACGTTTCAGAGTTTTGTTTCTGATTGCTATGATGACGGCAAGGACATACAGTGACAGCAGCAGATGGAATTAACATCCATACTTGAGTCACCGACTGAGCACATGTTCCCTGCGAAGTTGAGCAGAAGGGAGGTAACTCTGTTGTGTACTCACTCTAACAGGATGCTTGGCATGATCACCTCGAACAGCGATTCCTTCAGTGGAATAAAGGGCAGTAACCCCGAGTAGAAATAGAAGAGGAGCAGCACCACCCTCCTCATGGAGAATATCAGCGGGATGTCTGGGTTCTGGGAAAACACAAACACAAACTTGCAGTCATGTTCACATCATTAAGTGATTCCTTAAACAACTTTTCACAGCAGTCCACCTCGATGTATTCCTGTCGTATCTCAGCTTGTCAGCTTAATGTGGGCGGAAAGCCCGAAGTGATGAAGGTCTCAGACATTTGTACCACTTTGGTGAAGCCCACATGCTTGGTTTGTTTGTTTGTTTGTTTGTTGTTTAACTCCACACTCAGCAATATTCCAGCCACATGACAGCAGTCTGTAGATAATCGAGTCTCAAACACACAATCCAGTGATTGACATCATGAGCTTTGGTCCACGCAATTGGAATATGTTGATCAACCAAGACAGCGAGCCTGACCACCTGATCCCAATAGTCGCCTTTTCACGGCAAGCATAGGTTGCTGAAGACCTATTCTACCCCGGATCTTCATGGGTGAAGCCCACAAGCACAGATATGGTGCTGACAAACCTAGAAGCATAACCAGGATGAATCAGTATTTGAACCCACAATCATAGGTTCCTGGCATGCCCAAGGGATGCAACTCTGCACAGCGAAATGTGGCGCTTTAGATGACTGAGATAGCCGGGCTCCCCATTATAGTGAGATTATGTTCCCTCATCGCATGTGTTGGTCTATGCATCATATCATTATCCGACGATAAATTCTTAAGCAGCATATGTGAATCTCATCTGTCAAAAGTTGTACAAAACAACCTTAGCGCTACAACTGTCGTAAGTCTATGTTAAGGTATGGGAGTTACTATCACCTTAGCGCTAAGATCACTTTGTACAATAGCACCCAGATCCTTTAATAAAACAAAACAACAAAAAATACATAAATACAGGTTTTCATAAATTAAATATATTCATATCACATATTATATTTTTGACAAATTCGAAAGATGCCAACTATTATACCGTGAAGGTGAAAAGTTGGAATCAAGGTCAAAATTCAATATCACAAAAACCAACATGTATGTAACTTGTAAGGTACTGTTACAAACTACATACAGTAAACTACGTTTACAAAGAAAACGCTTATAACAAACTGACAGGTATAACAAACTGTTTTTTTGTTGTCGCTGTATATACACTGTATGCTTCTAATAAACTAGAATTAGTGCTCCCTTTGAGTTCGTTACCACCATAGTTTACTGTATGTGCCAAATTTCAATACTACCGTATTCAACGTAATAAGCGCCCCGCTCTAATAAGCGCCCACGGCGGTATTTGCTAATATATTGGCTAGTGAACAATCCCAATTAGCACCCCTTCCGATTGATCAATGTTCACAAGACTTATTTATTCACGTACAATACGCACTCGTGCGTTATATGCACTATTAATTATGGGCAATTAATTCTAGAAAAATATATCTGCCGTACATAAACTGTCAGCATAAACCACAAAATTTATCTTTCAACTGTTTTTTTCACCAAAATAATATTCTAATAAGAGCCCCCTATTTCTAATTTTGAGAGCGCCCTGGGCGCTTATTACGTCTATTACGGTATTTTGAAAAAAGATGTCTGAGTCATGACCATTAATGGGCAGGGATGTAGAAAATCAATGCCTGACTTGCTCCACTTGATACCTGAGATCGCCTGACTAACAAAAAGAAAATCAGCTTCAGCTGCCCGCTTTAAACTTTAGAAGACCATTAGTCAATTGTGATAACATTTTAGTAACAAGCACAAAATATATCTTTGAGATAGTGTCAATATCGCAAGCATGACCAGTCCAACTGACGGCAATATTGTTAACGTCCTTGTTCTGATTTCAATCACTGCTAAGACAAGCTCTCTGACTGGTTGATTAGAGTACCATGTAGCCAGTTGCACAACATATTGAAAGACGTCATGGCAAGTCGAAGTCACACTGGCTGTTCAAAACATATCGGTTTCTTTTCATTACGGCCAATAATGTATTCATAATTCATGGTTCGAAAAAAACACAGATATAAAAATTATTTTACAACATCAAATGAAATTTGTGGGCAGTAAAAGATGGATTTTGTGATAAATACACCATATCTGGTCAATAATCTGGACACGCAGACTTCCTTTCCAGGGAAGTGAATCTTTCCTGTTTACTTGTTCAGGAGCAAGTACATAATTTTGATATGTCTCAAGTCCTGATGGGTCCATTGTCTGGTCAATAAACTCGACAAGTAGACTTTCTCTCCGGACAAGTAAATTTTTAAGGTTTACTGTTCACAATTTTATATTTCTCAAGCCCTGACGGGTTTGTAAATAGGGCTGCCCTGGCAGTGTACCTGTTTGTGTAACTTGGTCACCACCTTGTCGCTGCGGTTGCCCCAGCCCGTGAGTGACTCTCTCTTGTACTCCCGCACGAGGTCCGACACCTAGAGTGAGTGAGTGAGTGAGTGAGTGAGTGAATCAAGTGAAATCATACATATGAGAGACACACCAAGTCTGTACTTTATTTGGCAGCAGCAGAAAACACCATGGTTATTTCATCCACATCCGGTATGATTCAACATCAAATTAATTTCAGACATCCAAGTCAGGCAATCAAATACTATCCATACCAAACAGCCATTGTACCCAACCAATACCCATCCGGCCTCTGTCATCAAGCTTGAGATACACTAGGGTGTATCAGCCCTCTGCCACCACCTTTCTACTGCTTGTTTTACATTTTTAGGCATGGCCTATAAAGAAGCAATGTGTTGAGCAAATACATCAACAGTGGTTTAAACCGCTAAATGGTCCTATGGTCACAATGCAAGTCTTTCATGAAAATTTATAGCAATTCAATTCTCTTTTCAAGACATGTTACAAAAGGCCACAAATGAATGTTTCAGTTAAAATATTACATGTCATCCACAAACAAGAGTTACCTGCCCTTGGCATAAAATCCAGAAAAAAGGCAAGATGAGAGGGCTGATAATTATAGGGGGACAGTAAGAAAGTAGGATGTTAACAATACAACTATATAAAAGTAGTAAGGCTTAATTCCATACATGATGTCAAACAGATGTGGGTGAGAGAATGCAATGCTGGACTCGGCATCCAGCACTATTCTGGCTACAACAGGACAACAGCCCGTACAGCCACACATCAGGGTCTCAGTGTTTGTTTGTTGTTTAACACCTCACTCTACAATAGCTATATGACGGCGGTCTGTAAATAATCGAGTCTGGACCAGACAATGCAGTGATTGACATCATGAGCATTGATCCACGCAACTGGGACACAGTCAGCCAAGTCAGCAAGCTTGAAAACCTAATCCCGTTAGTCGCCTCCTACGACATGCACGGGCCCAGGACGACTGTGATACAATGCCACCTAGTTAGTGAGCCTGTAAGTCAACTCAGTCAACTCTTCCAACAAGCATGGGATACTGGGGAGTTTCAGTCTATAAAACATGTATCCAGTCTCAGAGTTACCTTTGTGATGAGTTCATCGTCGTCCACTTTGATGTCAATGTTGATGGCTAAGTTCGGAAAGGCTTCGAACACGTCCCTCAGCAGCGGAATCTGACGATCTTCTCCACCTTGGATTTCATGACCTGGTCAACAATTGGAGGGAAGTGTTGTAGCTGTGCTATTTCCAACAACCTTTCATCGTCAGTACTCTGTATACACTATGTTCCTCCACAATGTGCTGTAGTCGATATTCATAACCAACCGGGGCGGTCGGTACGCAAGTGGTTAAAGCATTTGTTTGTCACACCAAGGACCCAGCTTCTATTCCCGACATGGGTACAATGTGTGAAGCCCATTTCAGGTGTCCCCCGCCGTGATATTGATGGAATATTGCTAAAAGTGGCGTAAGATCATACTCACTCACTCCATCATAACCAACCAATCAAGCGATGGCCTGGCTCCAATGAGAGGGAAGACAGTCAGTGACCTCACCAATGAGCACAGCTTACATCACAAACATCTCACTTGACACTGCGGATCCACAGCGGAGGGTTCAGACATGTGACATGTTAACTCAAGTAATCTAATGTGTGCACACCCTTTCTGAAAATCCAGATCTACCTCTAGCAAGTGTGTACAACATGGGCCTTGTGACTGCCTGCTCTACACACTGCTTCCATATTAGCTCAAAATGTAAATTCTTCATGTTTACCTTTATTCTTAACCAAGTGACCCTGGCAGGCAAATTGGGGGAAATGATTATTTTGATTTATTAAAAGTCCATATTTCTTAAATTTCGAGGTCTTTTGAGACTGTATGTAATACCATAGTATAAAACGAGTCATTAAAGCCTATTCCTATTTATTGGTCTTGTTATAAGTGACTACAGGTTACTTCTACAAAGCCATAAAATGAGGTAATATTTATATATTAATGTATTAACACATTGTAACATGTGCTGCAGACGTGGGGTCAGATATTAGGTTCCGAACACGCCCAGATAAATCCCAGTTTCCCCAGTTTCCCATCCGTCAGAGAGTTATAATTTTCTGTCTTAATCTGAATTCCATGAGTTATAAACGTCACCACTTCATCAGCTCACTACATACACCCGCACCACTAGTACACCATACAGGAGACAGATGTATTCAGGGTGATGTCTTAATCTGAATTCCATGAGTTATAAACGTCACCACTTCATCAGCTCACTACATACACCTGCACCACTAGTACACCATACAGGAGACAGATGTATCAGGGTGATGGAGGGATGCAGTGTACACAAACCATGAGTGAGTGGCTGAGTGAGAGAGGATGTGAGTTGGGTTTAACGCAGCTTTGAACAGTCTTCCAGTTATATCACGGCGTGACATGTTAATGTGGGAGGAGTGAGTAGGTAAGTCAGTATGGTGTTTACGCTGATTTTAGCAATATTCCAGCAATATCATGGCAGGGGACACCAGAAATGGGCTTCACACATTGTACCCACGTGGGGAATCGAACCCGATCTTTAGTATGACTAGCGAATGCTTTAACCACTAGGCTACCCCACCGTTCCTAACGTGGGAGGAAAGCCCAATATGAAACACATTAGTTGAGTATGGGGTTGACAAACCTAGAAACATTATCAGGGCGAACTGGGATTCGAAACCACTATAATCGGCCATCAGTATCACATCATGGCAAAATACCCAAATGCTCTGTACATAATGGAATCAATATTGGATGACATCAGTAAATACCAAGTCTTGACCAAGCAAACCATTGATCAATATTGAGAACAATCTCCAGCAACGGGATAAGAATACATATTAATTATCAACCCATGTTTGTTTGTTTGTTTGTTTGTTTGTTTGTTTGTTTGTTTGGTTGGTTGGTATCTTAACGCCACACTCAGTACTAATATTCCAGTTATATGAAGACAATCTGTACATGATCACGATTGGACCAGACAATCCTGTGATTAACATCATGAGCATGGATCAACACAATCCTGATACGATGACATGCATCCACCAAGTCAGCAAGCCTGACAGTCTGATCCGTTAGTCACCTCTTACAACAAGCATAGTCACCTTTTACGGCAAGCATGGGTTGCTGAAGACCTATTCTACCCCGGATCTTTATAGGTTCTATCAACCAATGACCCCATCTGACTATTGTCCACTCTAGTCCTAGTCAACTGTAGGTCGTGTCAGACCAGCTCTATCCTGGACTCCCCACAGGGACGCTAAGGTTCAACTCACAGCAGCTGAAGTCCACGTTCAAACAGGGCTTCAGAGGAGGGAGGTCCTGTGGAGGGAAGAAAACATGTACAATGTAGCCATGTATGACATGAAGTCCAGATTGAGGGTGTCATGATCTGTCTGCTCATGTAACAATCCATGTCTTAAATCTGTATTGATTTTCAACAGTGGTATTTTCATTGATCTTCCAAGTTTTGCAATATAAACCAGTCTGAGAGCTACTCAGGCCAGCATCACCCCAGCATAATACTATTAACATGATAAAGATTTCATAATACTGTTAACACAAGGATTCCATAATACTACCAACATGACAAGGAATCCATAATACTTTTAATATGATAAGGATTCCATAGTACTTTTAACATGAGAATTCCATAATACATTTAACATAAGGATTTCATAATACTATTGATATAACATGAGTGAGTGAGTTGGGTTTAACGCCGCTTTTAACATTATTCCAGTTATATCACGGCATGTCAGCTTAATGTGGGAGGAAAGCCCTAAGTGGTGCAGGTCTCAGACGTTTACCACCTCGGTGAAACCAACAAGCACGGGTTTGGTGCTGACAAACCAAGAAACAAAATCAGGGCCAACCCTCAGCTGAAGAGGTCTGTTTGTTTGTTTGTTTCTTTCTTTCTTTCTTTCTTTCTTTCTTTCTTTCTTTCTTTCTTTCTTTCTTTCTTTCTTTCTTTGTCGAACTCAGCAATATTCCAGCTGTATGATGGTGGTCTGTATATAATCAAGTCTGGATAAGACAATCCAGAGACTGCCATCATCTACGTATTTGGGATACAATGACATACATCAACCAAGTCAGCGAGTCTGACAACTGGATCCCGATAGTCACCTCTTACTGAAGACCTATTCAAACCCGGATCTTCACGGGTGGGCTGAAGAGGTAGGCATAGTGCATCACTTCAAGTCATGACGCCCAAGCAACTAAAAGGGAGTGAGTGAGTGAATGGTGTTTAATGCTCCTGTAGACCAATTCTAACTCAGAATCTTGAAAACATGTATGAGTTGTACGTATCTCTGTATACATGATACAGTAATTAGAAACTTGTGTAAACCTACATTTGAGCACCGATGTAATATCCATGACACATCATGATATGAGTTACCTTATAATCCATACCAGAGATCTTGCCACTGTAGCCGCATGCTCGTTCCAGGGACTCATCATGTGACACGACCACCTGACCATCTCGGGTCACATGACAGTCTAGTTCCAGCATCTCCGTGTTCAGAGACATGGCACTGGAATAACAAACACCACATCAGACTGAGTCTTTCTACACATAGTTGAATAACAAACACCACATCAGACTGAGTCTTTCTATACATAGTTGAATAACAAACACCACATCAGACTGAGTCTTTCTACACTTAGTTGAATAACAAACACCACATCAGACTGAGTCTTTCTATACATAGTTGAATAACAAACACCACATCAGATTGAGTCTTTCTACACATAGTTGAATAACAAACACCACATCAGACTGAGTCTTTCTACACATAGTTCAAGTAAATATTTCTGCATCACCACAGTATAGTTTTCAAACTAATAATATCATGGACCCGGTAGAATCTTTATTGGTACTATGGTCTAATATTGGTGCTATGGTCTAAAATTGGCACTATGATTAAATATTAGCAATATCATATTGGTATTGAGGTCTAAGTTTGGCACTTAGCTTCTAGTTATCTGCACTAAGATCAAATTTTGGCACTATCAGACTATTACTGGCACTATGTTCTATTAGCACTTAGGTTTTACTTATCTGCACTATGGCCTAATATTGGCACTATGGTCTAATCTTTATGCTTTGGTCTACTTTTGGCACTTGGGTCTAATATAGATGCTGTGGTCTAATATTGGCCCTCTGGTCTAATATTGACACTTTGGTCTAAAGTACTCACGGAAATGAAAAAAACCTGTTTTTTCGATCTCAGATTTTAAATAAATGCATTTAATATACAAAATATATAAATATTCAAACAACTCAATTAGTACTAATTGGGCCTTGGCACAAATACAGCGTATCAAAAGGTTTTTATGTCTTTTTACACGTAAAAGTGTGTAAAAATCTGAACAAAACAGACTATTGTGAAACTGAGCATAACCAGGTGTTAGTAGATCAAGGTGAATGTCCATGACCTATGACACCTTGACGACAGGTGAAAACAGATGCTTGAAACCCACGTGCATGTGATTTGTCAGTGGTTAGTGATTTGTGAGTGGCATTGTGGGATAGTGAATCATCGTCAAAATATCAGAACGTAAAAGTAACATATTCCCTTCTCAAACAAGAACTTACATGTCATTATTATTATGTACATAAACATAGCTGTTATTTTTATTGTTGTTTTGATAACTTTTTTCCAGGCTAATTTGCATAATGCCTATAGCCTGTTTCTGCCATGTCAATTTGGACAGTTTTATTTTTGAATGTTGAAAGTGCCTACAAATTACCTCCTGTAAAGTACATTTTGTATTGAGCACTGAGATTGAACTAGCAAATCCAGACAATTACTTTGCCAGTTGTTTTGTTATTTCGTATTTACATCTACGTAATGCTTTATGCCGATTATTAAATCCAGCAAAACAGTTTTTTTCATTTCCATGAGTACTTTAATATCGGCTCTATGGTCTAATATTGGCTCTATGGTCTAACATTGGCACTGTGGTCTAATATTGGCTCTATGGTCTAATATTGGCTCTATGGTCTAACATTGGCACTGTGGTCTAACATTGGCTCTATGGTCTAAAATTGGCTCTATGGTCTAACATTGGCTCTATGGTCTAACATTGGCACTGTGGTCTAATATTGGCTCTATGGTTTAATATTGGCACTTAGGTTCTACTTATCTATACTATGGTCTAAAATTGGCTCTATAGTCTAATATTGGCTCTATGGTCTAATATTGGCACTTGGGTCTAATATTGGCTCTATGGTCTAATATTGCACTATGGTCTAATATTGACTGTTTTGTCTAATAATGGTACTGTGGTTTAATATTGGCACTATGATCTAACATTGGAACTTGGATCAAATATTGGCTCTATGGTCTAATATTGGCTCTATGGTCTAATATTGGCACTATAGTCTAATATTGGCACTTGGGTCTGATATTGATGCTGTGGTCTAATATTGGCTCTATGGTCTAATATTGGCACTATGGTCTTATATTGGCACTATGGTTTAATACTGGTACTTGGGTCTAATATTGGCTCTATGGTCTTATATTGGCACTATGTTCTTATATTGGCACTATGGTCTTACATTGGATCTTGGGTCTAATATTGTCACTCTGGTCTAATATTGGAACAATGGTCTAATATTGGTACTATGGTTTAATACTGGTACTTGGGTCTAATATTGTCACTCTGGTCTAATATTGGCACTATGGTCTAATATTGGTACTATGGTCTTATATTGGCACTATGGTTTAATACTGGTACTTGGGTCTAATATTGTCACTCTGGTCTAATATTGGCACTATGGTCTAATATTGGTACTATGGTTTAATGGCCTGTGAAGATAAGGGGCAGAATTGGTCTTAAGCAACCCATGCTTGCTGTAAAAGGCGACTATGCTTGCCATAACAGGCGACTAACGGGATCGGGTGGTCAGCCTGGCTGACTTGGTTGATGAATGTCATCGTATCTCAATTGCAGAGATAGATGCTCATGATGTCAATCACTGGATTGTCTGGTCCACTATGGTTTAATATTGGCCCTAGCCTGTACTTAGCTGCACTATGATCTAATATTGGCCCTAGCCTGTACTTAGCTGCACTATGATCTAATAATGGCCCTAGCCTGTACTTAGCTGCACTATGATCTAAAATTGGCCCTAGCCTGTACCTAGCTCCACTATGATCTAATATAGGTCCTTGCTTGTACCTAGCTGCACTATGGTCTAATATTGGTCCTTGCTTGTACCTAGCTGCACTATGGTCTAATACTGGTCCTTGCTTGTACCTAGCTACACTAGGGTCTAATACTGGTCCTATCTTGTATCTAGCTGCACTATGGTCTAATATTGGTCCTAGGTTGTACCTAGCTGCACTATGGTCTAATATTGGTCCTTGCTTTTACCTAGCTGCACTATAGTCCAATGCTGGTCCTATCTTGTATCTAGCTGCACTAGGGTCCAATATTGGTCCTAGGTTGTACCTAGCTGCACTTTGGTCTAATATTGGTCCTAGGTTGTACCTTGCTGCACTATGGTCTAATATTGGTCCTTGCTTGTACCTAGCTGCACTATAGTCCAATACTGGTCCTTGCTTGTACCTAGCTGCACTATGGTCTAATACTGGTCCTTGCTTGTACCTAGCTGCACTATGGTCTAATACTGGTCCTATCTTGTATCTAGCTGCACTAGGGTCCAATATTGGTCCTAGGTTGTACCAAGCTGCACTAGGGTCTAATACTGGTCCTTGCTTGTACCTAGCTGCACTATGGTCTAATACTGGTCCTTGCTTGTACCTAGCTGCAATATGGTCTAATATTGGTCCTAGGTTGTACCAAGCTGCATTATGGTTTAATATTGATCCTTGCTTGTATTATAGGCATGAAATAATAGATGAAATAATAGTAATTAGCAACTGATTACCTACATTAATTATATAAATAGGCAATATGAGGGGCTAGAAGAGTATGATATAGGTATAGCACAGGGAAGATATATTGAGGGCAAGTGATGTATGAGTTGAAGAGTACAGGAAATATACTGGGACACAAATAACCAGGGGTGACGGTCCTAGGTCGAGGGTGGAAGTACTAGAGCAAAACGATAAAAATAACATAACAAAGGAATATGCGGGTTGCCAGAGACAAAATAGATAATGAGAGGAAATGTAGAGGAAATTGCTCTCAGGATCATATATGGTCTTGGGGGGGGGGGGGGGGGAAATAGTCCAGATTCCGGGAGTTGAGGTGGTTACATTACCACAAGACCTAAAAAGAACCTGGAGTTAAGACAAGAGTGGGTTAGAACAACCTAATGTGAAGGGAGATAGGTGCATGACCAATAGCAAAAGAAAAAAATTAGTAAGGCCATGACGTAGGTCGGGAGTAAAAAGACGGGGGGAACCGGAGGTTCAGGGCGGCTGGAGGATCCCACTTGGACACCGTGGTCTTGTTCTAATTTTCGGAAAGCCATACTAAACCTCCAGTATTTTGACTTGGGACTGAAGCCTTGCGGCCAAAGCCTCTATTAACAAACAGAGTGACCATAGAGTGGGTTGACCAACAACACTAGAGTGAATTAAAAGCTGTTGAAGAAAGATCACTCTTTGTGCTTGTTGGAGTAACTACGGTAATAGATCCAAGGCCCTCGGGTACTGACATTGTACCTCTCGCTCATCCCTGATGGTCAGCACCAAGAACGAGGGGATTGCCGTAGCTCAGGTGAAGGGGTACACAAATTGCTACCTTTAATTAACAACAATTACCGTCAATTGACATCTTAAAATTACCTTGGATACTTGTACCTAGCTGCACTATGGTCTAATATTGGTCCTTGCTTGTAATAAGCTGCACTATGGTCTAATATAGGACCTTCCTTGTACCTAGCTCCACTATGGTCTAATATTAGTCCTTGCTTGTACCTAGCTCCACTATGGTCTAATATTAGTCCTTCCTTGTACCTAGCTCCACTATGGTCTAATATTAGTCCTTGCTTGTACCTAGCTGCACTATGGTCTAATATTGGTCCTTGCTTGTACCTAGCTGCACTATGGTCTAATATTGGTCCTTGCTTGTACCTAGCTGCACTATGGTCTAATATTGGTCCTAGCTTGTACTTAGCTCCACTATGGTCTAATATTAGTCCTTGCTTGTACCTAGCTCCACTTTGGTCTAATATTGGACCTTCCTTGTACCTAGCTGCACTTTGGTCTAATATTGGTCCTTGCTTGTACCTAGCTGCACTATGGTCTAATATTGGACCTTCCTTGTACCTAGCTGCACTTTGGTCTAATATTGGTCCTTGCTTGTACCTAGATGCACTATGGTCTAATACTGGTCCTTGTTTGTATCTAGCTCCACTGGGGTCTAATATTGGCCCTTGCTTGTACCTAGCTGCACTATGGTCTAATACTGGTCCTTGCTTGTATCTAGCTGCACTATGGTCTAATATTGGTCCTTGCTTGTACCTCGATGCACGATGGTCTAATACTGGTCCTTGCTTGTATCTAGCTGCATTATGGTCTAATATTGGTCTTAGCTTGTACCTAGCTGCACTAGGGCCTAATATTGGTCCTAGCTTGTACCTAGCTGCACTAGGGACTATAGAAAATCATTGTAAACTGGTTTCTCAAAGATTGATTTTTCAAACACCAGGCCTTCCTTTCTGCCTGGCAATGTACTGAGTGTCCAAGGTGAATGAGGCAATAATTCAATGAACACAGCTTCATTCATTAAATATGGTGATTAAACACGTAAATGAACACATTTAATAGCGATGTCAATAACCAGTGAAAATTACTGGCACTATTTTTTGACAGAATTCCTAATTTGCTGCAAAATAATGATTCTGCCAAAGCCATAATGGTTGGCATCCATGAGTAGGTGATTAAAACATGACAGGAAAACACAACTTTGGTAACAAGGAACCACAGAACAGTCTTTGATGTGTGTCCCATCCTTCATCTCGCACCTCAAGCAGCCACTTGTAGACGAGATGCTGACTCATAGAGCATCAAATAATATGCATTCCTTTTTAGGGCGATGACAACAAAAAGACTTAAACCGGTAATTGAAGCAATTTTTTGCAAAGATCTAATCAGTTGAAGTCAAAGTATATTCCTGTAAATCCCTAGATACATCCCTGAATAGCTCAAGAAAGTCTGATTGGAACCTGAGTAAGCAATTAAAATGATGTCAGCCTGACCTGCCGGCCGGGACATGGTTACCCTAATCAATAACAGCAACAGTTGCAGGTATGTGTGTAGCCAGTGAAGCAGGGGTGGATGAGTGAGTGAAGGAGGGATGAGTGAGTGAAGGAGGGATGAGTGAGTGAAGGAGGCATGAGTGAGTGAAGGAGGGATGAGTGAGTGAAGGAGGGATGAGTGAGTGAAGGAGGGATGAGTGAGTGAAGGAGGGATGAGTGAGTGAAGGAGGCATGAGTGAGTGAAGGAGGGATGAGTGAGTGAAGGAGGGATGAGTGAGTGAAGGAGGGATGAGGGAGTGAAGGAGGGATGAGTGAGTGAAGGAGGCATGAGTGAGTGAAGGAGGGATGAGTGAGTGAAGGAGGGATGAGTGAGTGAAGGAGGGATGAGTGAGTGAAGGAGGGATGAGTGAGTGAAGGAGGCATGAGTGAGTGAAGGAGGGATGAGTGAGTGAAGGAGGGATGAGTGAGTGAAGGAGGGATGAGTGAGTGAAGGAGGGATGAGTGAGTGAAGGAGGAATGAGTGTGTTAAGGAGGGCTGAGTGAGTGAAGGAGGAATGAGTGTGTTAAGGAGGGATGAGTGAGTGAAGGAGGAATGAGTGTGTTAAGGAGGGCAGTATTGTGTGTGTGTGGGGGGGGGGGGGGGGGGGGGAATCAGATCAGCTAATTTTCAAGGATATTAAGTGATTATCATCCAAAAATTCCTTACGATTTGCTTGAAATTGATTACTGATATGAAGAATGTCCTGATGAAAATGTCCATAATTCCATCAGTCTCCAGGGATATGGAATGTAGAAATGAATGACAAACAGATGGACAGACAACATACAGGTGAGCTAAACCAGGAAAGTCTACATTGTTAACACAATAACAGCAGTAAACAGTGATGACTGAATCCTCTACGTGCATCCCAGAGCTGGGCCGGGATCCACTGATCACAAGTTTGAATCCTGGAGTTCCGATGTTTTGAAAAGCGCCTCCCCCCGATGGTGGTATCCACAGACAATGAGCAGACAATGTGCAGACAATGTGCAGACAATGAGCAGACAATGTGCAGACAATGAGCAGACAATGTGTAGACAATGTGCAGACAATGTGCAGACAATGAGCAGACAATGTGCAGACAATGTGCAGACAATGAGCAGACAATGTGCAGACAATGAGCAGACAATGAGCAAACAATGCGCAGACAATTAGCAGACAATGTGCAGACAATGAGGAGACAATGAGGAGACAATGAGCAGACAATGAGCAGACAATGTGCAGACAATGTGTAGACAATGTGTAGACAATGAGCAGACAATGTGCAGACGATATGCAGACAATGAGCAGACAATGAGCAAACAATGTGCAGACAATGAGCAGACAATGAGCAGACAATGTGCAGACGATATGCAGACAATGAGCAGACAATGAGCAAACAATGTGCAGACAATGAGCAGACAATGAGCAGACAATGTGCAGACGATATGCAGACAATGAGGAGACAATGAGCAGACAATGAGCAGAAAATGAGCAGACAATGTGCAGACAATGAGCAGACAATGAGCAAACAATGTGCAGACAATGAGCAGACAATGAGCAGACAATGTGCAGACAATGAGCAGACAATGTGCAGACAATGAGCAGACAATGAGCAGACGATATGCAGACAATGAGCAGACAATGAGCAAACAATGTGCAGACGATGAGGAGACAATGAGCAGACAATGTGTAGACAATGAGGAGACAATGTGCAGACAATGTGTAGACAATGAGCAGACGATATGCAGACAATGAGGAGACAATGAGGAGACAATGAGCAGACAATGAGCAGACAATGAGCAGACGTTATGCAGACAATGTGCAGACAATGTGCAGATGATGAGGAGACGATGTGCAGACAATGTGCAGACAATGAGGAGACAATGAGCAGACAATGTGCAGACAATGTGAAGACAATGTGCAGACAATGAGCAGACGATGAGGATACAATGAGCAGACGATGAGGAGACGATGTTCAGACAATGAGCAGACAATGAGCAGACAATATGCAGACAATATGCAGACAATGTGCATACAATGAGCAGACAATAAACAGACAATGTGCAGACAATCAGCAAACAATGAGCAGACAATGAGCAGAAAATGTGCAGACAATGCGCAGACGATGCGCAGAAAATGTGCAGACAATGAGCATACGATGTACAGACAATGTGCAGACAATGAGCATACGATGCGCCTCCTGAGATTTATTCTCCCTGCAGTGTTATATTGTACAATAAACAACTCCCACTTGTCATTTATTTCTTAAATGACAGCATCCATCAATCCCTGTCCATCCCTCTAGACACAACTTTACACAAATTAACACAATGCAGCAATATGGCCACTGACAGAAAGTCGGTACTCACTGTTTGAATGCTGCCATCGTGTTCTCCAAGTTCTCCCCCGCACCTGAAACAAGAACAGAGCGAGTGAGTGAGTCGGGTTCAACACCTCATCCAGCAATATCATGATTGGGAATACCACACATAGCTTCACACATCGTACCCTGGTGGGAATCAAACCAGTTAAAGCCTGACAACGAGTCATGTCAAGCTGTACAATGACATACAGAATATGTCAACATGAACACCTTCCTCATCTGCACTCAACTGGTGCTGTAAATAAGGTGTGATGACTCACACACCAAACGATGCATGGAAACTGTTCTGGGCCCAACTACACATAACCAAGAGGACCAGTTAAAATATCAGTGGTCAGGGTGAATGCCAGGTTTCCCTACAGACATTTTGTTGTTTGTTTGTTTGTTTGTTGTTTAACGCCGCACTCACCAATATTCCAGCTATATGACGGTGGTCTGTAAATAATCGAGTCTGGACCAGACTATCCAGTGATTGACATCATGAAAAACAATCCACGTAATTGGGATACGATGACATGCATCAACCAAGTCAGCAAGCCTGACCACCCGATCCTGTTAGTTGCCTCTTACGACAAGCATAGTCGCCTTTTACGGCAAGCATGGGTTGCTGAAGACCTATTCTAATCCGGATCTTCACAGGTCCCTGATACTGGTAATAGAACACCGGACCTCCTAAGCAGTGTTCAGTCTAGAGCGTGGCATTACTACATCTGTTTCAACAATAACGCAAAACTAATCATCCACACTCGGCAGTTGGGCACATGGTTTCTAATACAAAGGAATCTCATGTATCTGAACCAGCTTTGTTTAATGACATTAACACGCATCAAGGTGCTTCTTTTGCCGGTGTTGATTCGGAAGTGAGCTGTATAGTCTCATCACTGTCTTGCTGTCATGATGGGCAAAACATCCGCTGTTTCCAAGGGAAGTGGCTGGTTTTATCTTTGGGTTGCTGTTTGACCAAAATTGGAAATTGACTTTTGAAAGTGGATTCAAAAAATTAAATTCAATCATGGGATAAACTGTAACTATTTCAAAACAAGCACCAGGATCACCAAGTAGGTTGTGGCTCCCCCTTCGAAATGATCTCCCATTTAATAAAATGACCCCACTTTTATGTGACTCTTATTGAAAGCATGAGGCACTGACCTATTGGTGACAACAAGGGTTTGACCAGCAGCAGACACAACTGAGTGCAAGGTCACAATGTACACAGTTCACACTCACACTTGGTGTGTCCGGTATGTCACTCAGGTAAATTTACTCTCATTAATCAAGCAGTGTTTGTTAAAAGGGAACAGTTCACACGTGACCATAGTTAGGCACTCAAAAATGTGTTTGCTCTGTGCCCCAACCGACCCAACTCAACTAAACCTCTTTTCTCACTTTTCTCGCATTGCACCACAGTTTTTTTTCCATGTCTGATGCTTCTGGCGTTAAGTTGCAGTTCTTCAGTAGAGAAAAAACAGCAGTTATATTAAATCTGGCAACATTTGTCATTTGGAAGCAGGCTTTACTGGCATCAAGGGCAAAATGAATACTGTTTACTGAGGAATAAAAACTTACAGAAATGAAATCAACCTACTGTTAAGCTACAAAAGGAAACACACACATATTCAGGGAGTGGGTCAATCCCTGACATTTATGTTAGTCCACTTCTATATTGTGCCGAGGACAGGTCAAAATGCAACAGTAGTCCTCAGTAAGGAGTAGAGTTTGAGGGCTATAATTCTGAACCAGTTCTCAGTGCTTCAATTTGGCTACAATTTATAACTGAATGAAACTGACAGACAATGTAAACATAGTGAACATTTTTCTCTTGTTCAAGCAGGACTAGCTGCAACTTCTGAGCCCTAGTGAAACAAGGTTTACACAAGTTCTCAGGGCCAGTTCTAGCAGCCAACTATTTGACATTTTGTCCATGTAAATTCTTGAAAGAAATAATTATGCTTCATATTGGCAAATAATAAAGAAATTTACTGCCACAAAAATTAGATTGTTGCGATGTGGTTTTGAGTTCTTTAGTTTAAATATAAAACAATCTGGTTTCGCAGTTGTAGCTGAAAAAATATCTGGTCTCATTACAAAAACTGGGGACTGATTATTGCTGACAATGATATCTGGGAAATCGGATACTGATAACCAATTATAATGATATAAGGGGTACTAGGAGCTGATTATGATATCAGAGCCATTGGGGACTGACAATGGTATCGTGAGCACTCAGGACAGATAATGATATCTTGGGCACTAGGCACTGATCATGCTGATAATGGTATCAGAGGCACTGGGGACTGACAATGATATCAGTTACACCCTCAGTGGCAATTGGGCTTATACAAAGGGCTCAGGGAAGTGTTCCCGCACATCGTGGACTGATAGATATATCAGGGCATGTGGGATTGTTAGCAACATGATCAAGGTGAAATATCTGGCAAATATAAAAATGAATTCAAAGTCGCTCTACCGGCCATGCTTAATCATGTCAGTGAGACAATGTAGACATGGAGAAGACAGACCATTCTGTTCCAACGTTAGAAAAACAGTCTTTGTCCACTAGTCCTTATCATGATAACATATAGCAAAACCCTTACAAAGGGCAATTTTCCACTAGTCCTTGTGATACCTCAACTATTGGGCAGTTTGGCAAGGACTACAGGACTAGTGCCAGTTTCTAAAGCTGTGTTCCACTTATTCTGAAAAATTCAATAATTGTTGAGTAGAGCGTGCGAGCAAGCTGTTTTGATTTGAATTTATAGGTACTTATTTAACCTGAATGGTAGCACACCAAATGATTAATCTGTGTCACATATTTGTTTGATTAGCAGGTCCAAATATCTGTGCACATCTCTGGCCACAGCTGTGCAGCAGTGATAAAGGTAACGTTTCAATTAGATTCTCTCAGTATGAGAACTGTCTGCAACAGGTCACAATACTCATGCTGCGAGTCCTGCTCTCATAGCAGATCTCCAGTCTACTGGTTGGAGGCATGACTTGTATTTCTGTCGGTTGCCTAGCTACACATAACTCTAATTAAGCCAACCTTTTTACTGTTTCGTTAAAAGTTTTCTTACAAAGGAATTATGATTGGTAAGTTGAAATAAAAAATAGAAATAAATTGTGTAACTCAATATCTTATTATTTTATATAGAACAAAGTTTTTGGGATCAGTAGATCAGATTAATTTTGTTAAAAAATACAAGTTGTTTAAGATTTCTATAATCACAGTAATCATTAGGAGTGAAGTGACATGTGGAACCATCAATGTATTGCAGTTTTGTGCCCTATGACCTGATGACACACCAGTAGCTTCCTAACAATTTGGATTTTATAACCACCTTAACAGCAAGTGTTAACTGCAGGCCTGTCACGTGAGTGCACACACACACACACCAGTAAGTACCCAACACCTGACAACACAGTGTCTACTGCAGGCCTGTCACACACACACACACACACCAGTACGTACCCAACACCTGACAACACAGTGTCTACTGCAGGCCTGTCACACACACACACACACCAGTACGTACCCAACACCGGACAACACAGTGTCTACTGCAGGCCTGTCACACACACACACACACACCAGTACGTACCCAACACCTGACAACACAGTGTCTACTGCAGGCCTGTCACACACACACACACACCAGTACGTACCCAACACCTGACAACACAGTGTCTACTGCAGGCCTGTCACACACACACACACACCAGTACGTACCCAACACCTGACAACACAGTGTCTACTGCAGGCCTGTCACACACACACACACACCAGTACGTACCCAACACCTGACAACACAGTGTCTACTGCAGGCCTGTCACACACACACACACACCAGTACGTACCCAACACCTGACAACACAGTGTCTACTGCAGGCCTGTCACACACACACACACACCAGTACGTACCCAACACCTGACAACACAGTGTCTACTGCAGGCCTGTCACACACACACACACACCAGTACGTACCCAACACCTGACAACACAGTGTCTACTGCAGGCCTGTCACACACACACACACACCAGTAAGTACCCAACACCTGACAACACAGTGTCTACTGCAGGCCTGTCACGTGAGTGCACACACACACACACCAGTAAGTACCCAACACCTGACAACACAGCATCTACTGCAGGCCTGTCACACACACACACACACCAGTACGTACCCAACACCTGACAACACAGCATCTACTGCAGGCCTGTCACGTGAGTGCACACACACACACACCAGTACGTACCCAACACCTGACAACACAGCATCTACTACAGATCACTGATTATCAGGAAGGTCTATTGTTGTTCACAATGTCTACAGAGCAAGCTTTTGTCCTGTGTTCATTCCACTCAGGAAATACAATCTATAACTCCCCACAGCTCATCAGGCCCACGATGACATAACCTATCTTCTAGATAATATTCATGTAATGTGCTGTGGGCAGGGGGATAATTAAGCGGATAATGGCATCATCCTCTCTTGTTCTCCAACATGCCCAAATAGCTACATAAGGCCACACATTTTTTATTTTTGTTTCACGAGACCCCCACCCCTACTGAAAAGCAGCTGGAAATGAAGTAAATTAAACATAAAAATATTTGTTGTATTGTCTCCCACTAATAAACAGTCCCTCTTATACATGTAAATGTTATATATAAATTCCATGTCTACATCACTATCAGTGATTCAAGAAGCCAGCTGCAGTTTTAACTCTGTGGCGGAATCACTTTCACATAAATAAATGATTGACACAGCTATTTATTTTTATTTCAACCGACCTTGTTGAAAAGCTGGAATAAATCTGTGAAACATAAAATTAAGAAAGTCTGGCCTTATGATAAGAGATTTGACATGGATGACTCATGTAAGTGGCAACCTAAAGGATGGTCCATCAACAAAAATAAACTTTTCATTACAAATAACATGTCATAAAAAACATTTAGCAGATTATCATACTGTGTTTTCAATGTAGCTTCAGGATTAACCTAGCTAAATTGAATTTGGAACCAAACGCACAGTGTTAAATTTAGAGCAGGTAAACATGGTAAATCAACAGTTTACCTAGATCTACATTGAAAACACAGTTTGTTTATCTCAATTCTACCAGGACTAAACTAAGAGTGAACTCTTTGGTGTTAGCGAAGATAGTGAGTGAAGTGGCATTGGTTGAGTCCAGGGTTTTGAGTGAGTTTTCTAACTGAATTAAGGAAACACAGATACTATTCTATAAAAAAAATTATGGCGCTGCATACGCTCAAACATTCTTGTTTCACATCATACTACTTTACTCCTATATATCTTTCAGTAATTGAAAGTGTGTAGTACATGTAGTATTGCTATTTATTAAGCTAACATACAGATGGCACCCTAAAGAAAATGAGGTAAGCCTTTCAAGGTTTATTAGTTGGACACGTGTTACAAGTATGACATCACACCGCTCACTGTGTTTGCCTTTTTTGTTTGTGGCTTAACCCCAAACTTAGCAATATTTCAGCTATGTGGCGGTTGTCTGTAAATAATCAAGATTCGACCAGACAATCCAGTGATTGACATCATGACCATCAATCAATGCAAATAGGATATAATAAAAAAACATTACTGAAGTCAGTTTACTCTGTGCAGCACTTGCATTGTTGGCTATGCCGTGCAGAGCTCTATTGTTTTGGTTTGAGAACTGAATCGGGCATGTGACGTCACACTCAAGAAATTATTTCATGTATGATTAAAAAACAGAACCATTGACGTACTGTACCTTTAAAGCGAATGCCATAGACTGACAGCAGCCTCGGCCAATTAGCACAATAAGCTGTAAACTGTCATGGTGCACAAAAACATAATTGCTTAACCAGGATAATATATTCCACACTTTCCTTGACTTCTTTGTTATTTAAACATGTTAAACCTAATAAAATCATGTAACAGTGTTAGTGAATATGAAAATGGAAATGAAAGTAATAAATGATTGAATATTGGAAATAAACGCTCAGTATCGATTGTGGACATTTGAATACACTAATGATAAACCTTTGATGAATGACAATAATTCATTAATTGATCATTGCAAACTCCCAGCTGGATGTGCACTTTCTCATGTACATGTACACAACGCAACACTGCATCACTGATTAGAATGCATTCCGGGAATAATAAACGCTGACCCGACCATTCAAATGTCTAGTTCTCACTAATGACGTATTTCGCTAATGGGGATGTTGTGTTTACTTTTCATAAACGACAAGACTAGTAACAATATTGCGCGAATAAAATCAAATCAAAATATTTCAAACAAATGTCATCGACTGATTGTCATGAATTTAAATTGTGCGGGTATTTTTAATCAAACGAAATAGACGCAAATATTCTCGAAATTCTGTTGTCAGCTGATGATTAGGCCTACTCTCAGTCTCATCGAGTCGGAGCCACTCGAGTAACCATGAGTAACTACCTATGACTTGACAGTTTTACATACCTCCTCGGTGACTTATGTGACGACATCTGAATTTAAGGTTCTTTTTCTTGTGGATGAGGCTCGGAAACCTCAACAGCAGCAGCGAGGTCACAATGTACCCGCCGACGAGAGCGAGAAACACCATCAGTACCACAAACGCGACGAACTCCATCTACTCACAATAAACAGGAGTTACCTCCCTTTCAGTTCCGGTGAGCAAGCTCCTTCCCAGCGCGCGACACGATATCACTGTGAGGAGCTTGTGGGTGAAATGCAGCGATGACGTTTCGTTGAAGAGATCATAAAAAGTATGCTGGGTAGTCCAAAAGTCGTGACAATATTGAGCACACTACTGCGCCGTGACCAGGCGCCCGTGGTTTAAAGGATTGTCGTGTATAGCATCTTCTATCGGGCATAAACACCAATTATGTACACTATTTTATAAAAGAAATGTCCCAATATTATATGGAAAATGTAACGACTTAATGGACAGAAATGAAACAAGAAGGGAACAGTCACGTCACCTACCTCTTCGAATTCTCTGGTTTCATTGAATTTAAGAGGAGAAGATACTGACAGAGGCGGGTGTATTTTAAACGAAGCAACACCTTGAAACATAAGGTTACAGTCATGAATCTTATGACCGGAATTGCCGAAATTGCCAGACTTCCGAAGTTGACATCCCAGTAAACACGTTTGATTGTCATAGATTCGATATATTCTGACCATGTGCCAAATTTACCAGGGTTTGTTCAAACATGATGTATAATACTGTAAGTTCCGATGTGTTTCTAATAGCATTTGGAATATATACGATATAAGGGGAAAATATACGCAACGAGTTGACAATTTCTTTAGCTATGCCCGTTTGCGATTAGACGGAACCAAGTCGCAAAAAAGTCACGAGAGGGGCACGAGTCGCTATTCGGCTTGTGCCGGAATAACACTAGTTGATCACGAATGCTATGTCATGACTCAGTAATTATATAAGTTGGTACGGTCAGGTACATCCTGAGTGAGTATAGTTTTACGCCGCATTTAGCACTATTCCAGCAATATCACGGCGGGGGGACACCAGAAAATGGGCTTCACACATTCTACCCATGTGGGGAATCGAACCCGGGCCTTCGATCGGCGTGACGAGCCAACGCTTTAACCAATAGGTTACCCCACCCAACCCCACCCCATCGCCACCCGTACATCCTGAAACAAATGGACACACTTGTGAATTAAATATGACACCGTCCTTGTAGTTCTGGAGTAAGGTGAGCTAATTTCACATCAAGATTGTTTAACACCTCAGAATTTTTAAGAATAGGGCGAGTCTTAAGATTGTCATCCACTTCACACACTTCATATGCTTACTGGTAAAGTCATTATTGCACTCATGTGATACAGAGCCAACAGCAGACCAGTATCCGCTGGGGGCACATGTGCAGACTTGTCATAATAATTCCTTAATCACATTCCAACAATACAACCGTTTTCATCCCGTTTTTTTTTTGTTTTTTTTTCGGCGACCTTGAGCTTGGACAATGCATAGAGCCGGTTTCTAACGGTATATGTTGAAATTAGGCTTCCTGTTATTGTTCGGGATTCTCTATAGATAACAGGGCCAGATATGAATCTATTGCGTTGTTGTTAGGACTGTCACGCCCATGTCACATGGCAGTTGCAATAGTTTCAGAACATGTAGAATGGGTTTACAACATGAATTTCATAATACGTTGATATTGGCTTCTTAGCCCTTATGAGAAATATGCGGTATAACAGCACGGATAACACAAATAACACGACAAGCATAACAAATCCATCCGTGAAATTATGGAAGAAATATTTCCCTACATCTGCTACAATCTATACATCCTGGTATGAACAGTGCTCTGAAACCTCAAAGAATAATTCCTATTTAAATCACCAGGAATATATTTATTGTATTCATCTAAATGTAAAATAAGTATTATGTCTGATTTTGTTTTGTTTTATTTAGATGCAGAAAATAACAGGAAGGTTGAACGGTCGGAAGTATAAGTCTAACAAAGACTACGTCACGCAAATGCACGAAAAACATTTATTTCCTCAACAACGACGGTCGCTAGAGGGTCAAAAAGGAGGACATCATTGCATCTTTCGCAGGGGACTAATTGTTCGAAGCGTCATATAAATATCCAGTTTCATGTTTTCTATGGTTGGTGAACATTTGTCAAGTGGAAAGTTAACAAACACTTCGCTGTACTGTTTTAGCATAGAGAGTGAGTGAGTATGGTTTTACGCCGCTTTTAGCAATATTCCAGCAATATCACGACGGGGGACACCAGCGATTATGTTTGAACTGTTAAAATAGTGAGGAGAAAGTACGTGAAGTCCCACCCCCGATTTTCCAGTGTATTATATCGCCATGTTATTCACCACCAAAGCTTCGTTTTGAGCTTCGGTTCTGGCAACAAAAAGCTAAAACTAGTCGTCCAATCAAATTACACTCCTGTGCGAGAGACATTCTGTGCTAGGTTAGTGAGAACGGAGTGGGTGATGGTGACGTCGCTTCCGAACCAAAGATATAATATCCAGGAGGTGAAGTGAAATAGAACACCAAACACAACCGGTTAATCCTTTTGGGAACCGTATTGTTTCGACCGGTTTTAGTAAAGAGATCGCGTCACGTGATCTACCTTCAGATCGGGAAGTGCGTATATATGCGAAATCTGACCAGAATTATACCAAACGTTGCTAAGAAATTACTTGTAATTCAGTAATACTCTATCACTGTTCAACATGTTTATTTGGACACATGGGCAGTGGGGTAGCCTTGTGGTTAAAGTGTTCGCTCGTCACGCCGAAGACTCGGGTTCGATTCCCCACATGGGCACAATGTGTGAAGCCAATTTGTGAAGTCCCCCGCCGTGATACTGCAGAGTTACCTCCCTAAGCTGCTAGGATCAGCTGGTTGTTTGGGATTTTTCTCTGTGTTTGTTTGTTGTTTAACGCCACACTCAGCAATATTCCAGCTATATGACGACCTTCTGTTAATTCTACTATATACCAGAATAAAACTGTATGAATAGACCTTTGATAAGCGCCTATTACGATCAAAGGAGCCGTTATCGAAATTTAATTCTGTTGTCATTGTCAACGTTTTGGCGTTTATCAAAGTTGAAATTATTTTTTTCAATTCTCAAACAGTGGCTACAAATGTACCACACAGGTGTAGACAACGAGGCCATAAACGCTATCATTAACGTCTTCAATGGAGAGAGAATTCACGGAACGAATGGCGTCCTTTGCGCGTCGTCACGTTTGCACATACCACACTGAAAGTTACTTTGTCATTACCAGCGACATTGTCAACACACGATCAGGGCCAACCGACGCAGGTATGCATTAACACTACCCCTTGCAACACCACAGCAGTTGTCTCCCTTTACAGGAAACTGGACCTGGCTTTATTTGAATATATAAATGCCATGTGCCTGTGTTATTCAAGCCCAGGTAATTTAGGTCAGTGTTCCCAGCCACAACAGAGCTGAGCGTGTCAGTCAGAGAACGGCGGCGGACAAGCCTGTCAACGGATTATACCAGTGCTTGTGATTTTATTCATTTACGGATTACCAGCCCCGGAATAACCCCTAGCCATGTCAGCCCCCTCCCCCGAGCCCGAGGGTCAGATATTGGTTCATGAATCGGAGGACGAAAACAAGACGTATAAGTATTCCTTTACCTACGAGAAGGCATCGTTGTATGAATTCAAGTACGAGCGAGCGGCTGAGCCGGATCCCATCGACCCCTGTTTTCGGTGTAACAAGCAAGCGTTCCCCGATGATCAGATCAACGTTGGAGTTTTATTCCACAAACAGTGTTTCCGGTGTCGGATCTGTGGGGTGCCGCTCACGACGCAGTCGTTTTATCGGAACAACAAGAATGGCAGCAAGGACAAGGAGTGTTTCTGCAAGACCCACGTGGGGAAGAGCATCAGCGAGCTGAAGAAGGGAAAGATGATGAACCTGGACGCCATTAACAACCCCCAAAAGAAGTATGTCATACAGGTAGGCAGTTTCACCTTCTTGTGTCATACAGGTAGGCAGTTTCACCTTCTCGTGTCATACAGGTACGCAGTTTCACCTTCTCGTGTCATACAGGTAGGCAGTTTCACCGTCTCGTGTCACACAGGTAGGGAGTTTCACCTTCTTGTGTCATACAGGTAGGCAGTTTCACCTTGTCATACAGGTAGGCAGTTTCACCTTGTGTCATACAGGTAGGCAGTTTCACCTTCTCGTGTCACACAGGTAGGCAGTTTCACCTCGTGTCATACAGGTAGGCAGTTTCACCTTCTTGTGTCATACAGGTAGGCAGTTTCACCTTCTCGTGTCATACAGGTAGGCAGTTTCACCTTCTCGTGCCATACAGGTAGGCAGTTTCACCTTCTAGTGTCATACAGGTAGGCAGTTTCACCTTCTCGTGTCATACAGGTAGGCAGTTTCACCTTCTCGTGTCATACAGGTAGGCAGTTTCACCTTCTTGTGTCATACAGGTAGGCCATTCTCCTTCTAGTGTCATACAGGTAGGCAGTTTCACCTTCTCCTGTCATACAGGTAGGCAGTTTCACCTTCTCCTGTCATACAGGTAGGCAGTTTCACCTTCTTGTGTCATACACGTAGGCAGTTTCACCTTCTAGTGTCATACAGGTAGGCAGTTTCACCTTCTCGTGTCACACAGGTAGGCAGTTTCACGTTCTAGTGTCATACAGGTAGGCAGTTTCACCTTCTGTCATACAGGTAGGCAGTTTCACCTTCTGTCATACAGGTAGGCAGTTTCACCTTCTCTTGTCATACAGGTAGGCAGTTTCACCTTCTTGTGTCATACAGGTAGGCAGTTTCACCTTCTAGTGTCATACAGGTAGGCAGTTTCACCTTATGTCATACAGGTAGGGAGTTTCACCTTCTTGTGTCATACAGGTAGGCAGTTTCACCTTCTTGTGTCATACAGGTAGGCAGTTTCACCTTCTTGTGTCATACAGGTAGGCAGTTTCACCTTTATTGTTATGGTGATTCTGGATTAGAACACGTTCCCCGCGGTCCCTGACTGTCCCAGTGACCGAAGGTCTTTAATCATAAAACAATGGAGACATGCTACCCTGGAGGAAAGAGGATGGTTCTCGGTAGGATCCCCCGGCTTCCTGACGTGTTCCTGTACCCCTAATCTCCAGTAACCAGGCCATCACACTGAATGAGTATCTTTGTTTGTTGGGAGCTCTACTAAAGCAGGTAGAGTGTTAACATCAATATCGCTTCTCTCGTTTCACAACAAACGTCAGACCTTGAGAAGCAAGTCTCTCATTTGTTCTTACCGCATGTCCACTCACTAGTATACACGTTGTCAGACACACATCACCAGCACAGACGTCGTCCGCAAGTGCTCTTTTGTATTTGAACATACGCTTTTGGGAAATAAAATAAAGTGTCAATGTCAAGTTACCATGGTTACACATAGCCAAACGTTGCAGACCTTATGGTTTTGCGTGGCAGTTTCAGTGAACACGTTACATTCTGCCTCGGCGACCACAGCTGGGTGATCCAGAACAAAGACACCCTGATCAAACACAGACAATTAGAAGGTGGCACAGCGTTGTTAAAGAGGTTGAACCGAGCAGACACGCCCATGTTTATGTCTTATACAACAATGGCCGCTTTCACTTCCTGGTGATGTACTTGTTGCTTTGTAAGCCTGGAGCGCCGCACACTCTCACCCAGGCAGGAACTCCTTCTACCCCCCTGTGATCCATCTCACCGTGCTCAGTTCCTTGTACGTCAGTCCTAATGTAGTGTAGTGGTTACAACGTTCGCTCGCAAGCCAGGTTCGACTCCCAAATGGATACGATGTGTGAAGCCCGCCAATGTCCCTATTCTAGACATGTTTGGTTGTTACAAAAAGCGGTGTAAATGACGTTAGTTACAACTTGTTTGAGATGCATCGGGGTTTTTGCGACATTATATTGATGAGTAAAATTTCTGGACATGCGTTGCAGTTGCAGATGTGTTTTCCACCGAAGCCTCAGTTGATTCAACTGATTTCATCCATCGAGAATCCGATCCTGATCTGTTACCTATCCATGTATATGTGTCATTCATTCATAAATGTGAAGCTCATTGCTGGTGTCCCCAGCCGTGATATTGCTGTAATAGTGCTAAAAGTGAAGCTAAACCCCCTTCCCTCACTCACTTACGTACTCGTCCATCAACTCACTCTCTCACTCACTCACCCTGCCCATGAGGTGAGGTTAAATGGAGGTTTAACGTCGCGTCCACATTTATTGCACATATATAGCGACGTGCATGCATGTGTGTGTGGCTGCTTGTACTAGTCCGGACTAATGCCGATTTATAGTGCTAGCCCACTGAGATACCATGCCGCAGTTTAACATGAATACCCCACTCAGACACAGTATACAGACTCCGAGCCGACCAGTCCTTGTTTTAGCCTCTTAATGGCGAGCGCCAGACAACCATGAACTAAGGGTGTGAACCGTGAATACATGCGTACTCCACCGCACTATTTAGACTGAGACTGTATCACCAGGAAGACTCGTGTTTATTTCTGGTACGGTAATAGTTGCTGCGTTAGCTTACAGGATAATCTCTGATATCAGTTATCTCCCCTGAGGTAAGATGATGTGTAGACGACTGTTGATGTTGACGTTGTTGGTTGTTTGGTTTGTTGTTTAACGCCGCACTCAGCAATATTCCAGCTATATGACGGCGGTCTGTAAATAATCGAGTCTGGAGCATCGATCCACGCAATTGGGATCGATGACATGTAACAACCAAGTCAGCTAGCCTGACCACCCGATCCCGTTAGTCGCCTTTTACGACAAGCATAGTCGCCTTTTACGGCAAGTATGGGTTGCTGAAGACCTATTCTACCCCGGAATCTTCACGGGTTTTGATGTTGACGACTGTGTCCTGAAGCGTTCGACCAGGACCTCAAAGTAAATCGTCTTCAATGCCAGAACGAGTTAGCTGTTTAAGGTTTCACTATAAATGGTTGTATATCGACGGAGCGTGTCATGACGTTAAGTCTCGGGGTGAGTGTAAGGTGATCTGTTGACACATCTATCTGACACTTTGTGAAGCCATCAATCTCATTGTGTCACGATTTAGCTGTGGATTATCAAAGTTTTATTTTCACCCACTGACGTAATCTCTAGATTAAGCGAGAGTGACGCGTACTCAGGTGACAAATCTTTCCGGGATGTGGTAACTGACAATCCTATATCGCACATGTTGTGCAGGTGCCCGCTTACTAACACTCACGGCTTAATGTCGCCTGATATCGGAGACCACACGCCTCGCCACGGAGATCAGGATTATACGTGACTGTTTGACCTACCTTACTCTCCTCAGTGTCGAATATAAGAAAATCTCACCAGACAAACACGGAAGTTGACACAAATTTCAATCTTAATGTATTTTATATAAATGTGTTTCTGAACTATAAGAACGTTAAGAGATGGTATTTGTTGTTTCCCTGCCTGGCGCTCGGCGTTTTGGAGATAACTAGGGCTGATCAACTCGGGGTCACTTTTCTGTGTCTGTTGGGTTTCGTATTACATAACACACACACACACACACACACACACACACACACATCAGGTGGTCAGCCTCAGTGACTTGGGTGAGGGTGTGCCATCTACCCCAGCGGCGTGGATCGTTCTTCATTATATCAATCACTGGAATACTTGGTCCAGACTCGATTATTTACAGGCCGCCGTCATATAGCTGGAATATTGCGGCGTAAACAACAAACAAACATCAACTAAACAACCACAAAACATTGCCTTATTTAGCAATTGTAGGACCATGAAAGCATCGAAACAAACTTTGTACCACAGCGTATGTGGACACGTTCATCTCCATAACATAAATATGTCGAATTTTCATAGCTACTTTCCAGCGACGTGACTTCCCAATATATTATTTCCCCAACCACTACACGACGTTGTTGACATGTCCTATATATCAGTGGACATTCCTGACCCACCCCCTGCATAACAATCTAGATAAGACCACGCGGCCACAGTGAGTCATAGGCACCGTGGGGAGGTGTTAGGGAAATAGTATCTGTTTGTTTTGCGTGTTTCACGTATCGTCGTATTTACATTCAGCCACATGTGGGTCGTGCGCACTCCTATTGGGGACTTTAGTTTATTTAAGTTTCAAATACTGATATCCTTGCATTGATGTAGATTTTAATTAGGAAACAGTGCTTGTATAAGGGTTTACTTATTCATCACTTCCTCGAAGCCAGGTCTGATTACACATTCGTCATCACTCTTCCCTGTTAGTAACCTCCAATGGGCATGCAATTGCCATTCGTGATTAACTCCTGTCATTCCGGGACAAGCCGAATGGAGACTGTAGGTTACGGATGCGAGTCATTCGTCACCATTCGCCTCTTTCCGTAACCTGCTATTCGGCTTGTCCCGGGATAACACGAGTTGGTCACGAATGCAGGTTACGGATGCAAGTATTACCGAATGACGTAGTGCGTGATGCTGCGAGGAACTGGGTGGAACAGATTTCCATAGATCGACATTATTGTATAATAAACAAAACAAGTCCCTGTAGACTTGTAACTTTGAGCTGACAATACAAATGCACAGCCTAGTTCATCCGCCTAGATAATGTTTAAACAACCAAATTAGAATGTACTGATTCCCTAATACCATATATCAAAATATCGTATAATGACGGTATTGGCTTGACATTATCAAACACATGCACACTATTCGGTAATATATCTCTGAAAAGGCATATATCTCCCAAATCAGCATCTCATTTGTTGCAGAAGTTCTGCAGAAAACTGCTATAGTAGATCTATTTATCCTATAGGCATGGTTCATATTGTCAGTTTTCACCAAGGACTGGTCGTGCAGTGTGGCCTGACGCATGCGTAACGCGTCTCCAATTCGCTGAGATTGAGTCAGCGTGAGAAGCAATTGTCACATGTGTCAGCCATTCAGACCAACATTCCGTCATGAGAAGGGCCA